TACATACAGGGTGGTCTATTGGAGAGTGAGAAAAAAATGGTGTAATAACCTACCATTTGAGTGCGAGTGCAATCATAATATCCAAAATCAAACCTGTGAAGAGAGATCACAATCTCAGGATAACTAGTCGATGCGCGAGGATTGCTTGTCATCTTTGCCACACTTTCATTTCTTTTGCCTTCGCCCTCTCTGAGTGAAAATACTCACGACTGAATCAGAGATGAATCAGCCCTGGAAGTTTAATGAAATCAATGATTTCCTTCAATATTTCATGATTATCTAGATGATTATACCTATTTTTCACGCCATGCATATTTTCAAATGTGTACACATCATTCGACGTTTGAAAACATCGAACAACAGAATAAAGCGAGAGAATTGCTTGAGGTTTCTTTCTTCGTAACTGTGCCAGGGGGTGCTAGTATGCAATGACGCAATGCGGTGGGACCGTTCAACCGATATTAATATCGGGAAGAACCATAGAAGCACAGTATATTATCCTTTCACGAGAAAGGATAATATACTGTGATAAAAGTGTCGATATACTAGCTTCGAGACTAGCTTTCTCTTCGCAGAATCATACAGACAATGCCTAGTGTGATGGTTCAACATTGGAAGCTTTGTTTTAACTTCTCCCCACTCTTATTCGCTGTGGTGCTGTGTTGAGATGCACGAAAATAAAATATCAAATTTGCTGTTTTTGGCAGTGACTGAAACGCCCTTTTTTTATCTCTTGGAAAGCACGAAAGATTATGTTCTAAGAACATCGTGCGTACCTAATTTTTTAAAACTTTTAGAGGTTATAAAAGTTCTTGGGAATACTTCCATTGGCAAAGAAGTTGAGCGCAATGTTGATGGCTTTCTCCATCACTTTAGAGATGACTGATAGCAGGGCAAGTGGACTAAAGTGTTAGTTGCTGAATTATCAGTGAGGAATAAGTCAAGTGTGTTGGCTGAATGATTATGGACATCGGAGTTCATGTGGGTTCCTTGATAAGCTGCTCTAAGCCGTGAGTGATGGCGAAAGCTTCGGCTTGTCGCCCAGCTTCATCCGTTTTGTTGGAGTGTACGGGCCAAGCATTGTTGTGTACATTGAAATCGCCCATGATGATGATTTCTGCTATTCATAGGATGAATCAGTCACATATCAGGCCTGATCGTGGTTCCAAGTGTGATGAAAGGGATGGGGAAGAGTAGAGTAAAACATTTTCATTTTTTATATTCGTAGGTAATTTTTTCCTATATATTCTCCCTATTTTAATATTCATTCGGTGGAGACAACCCACTGGATATTCCTCCGCATTCTCAAATAAATCACCTTGTGTAGGTAAGTTATTTCTGGATACTTCGAATATATCGAATATTTCGTTAGTTTAGAAGTTTAGACCTACAAGGTTATTCACATTCACCTTTACTTTTTGTGAAATAACAAATTACCAAAACTAAGGTTCGAACGGGTTTCAACTCGGGTTCCAACGACGGTCCGAACTATGTATACCTCAAGATATTTTCATGCGAATAGGTGTACTACTTATGTAATTGATATTTTCAAATGGGAACTGGCACGCCACTGGATTAGTAGTTGTTATTATGCTTGTTCCATAAAATTGATTGTCTGTATAATAAACTGGATGCATGATCTGCTCTATATATGTACAGAGTTAGTAAAAAGTATCATTATCTCAACAGACTCATTCTCTTGAAAATGGGTATAATAATAATTGTTTGAAAGACACATAGATTCGGAAAATAATACCTACTTGTCAGTATGTTGCTGTACGCTGTATGCACTTTCATCAGGTATACCCGGATCCATTCCCAATTAATACAAATAAAAACCGTTGCAATCAATTCTAGGTCTCGTTGCAGGTTTTTCTATTATACTTCTTACAATACGTCCAAATTCATCATATTCTTTGTGATACTTGTTGATATTTGAACAATAGGGATATTATGTTTTCATGCTTGACAAATTTCATGTTTATATTGCACGAATGTGAAGTTGGCGCCGTTTTTTTATTTAAAATCAATCTTTTTGAGTTTCGAGTAGATTTGATGATGGAGTTCTAGAGTTCCTGACTGAAATTTTGAATAGTTCCAGCAAATTGTATAGATGTAAATGGAAAAATTTATTTTGAGCGCTAACCTCACGCAGCGCCGTATTTTTCGAGAACATGAGTTGTTCTGATATATTTTTTTGTTGTATTATAAAGAGTTCTGGATTTTTAAACCTATTTCATCAATGCACATTCATAGAAATATAAAAATATCTCCAGACTCTGTATTAAATTGGTTGGCTATTCTAAGTCGAAGACCTCTGGACTTTATCATTTAGGTACTGCAGTGCTTATTAAAATAAGTTATTGAAACTTCAAAAAAGTATTGATTTTGCTTTACCCCCCTTCCCCCCCCATAAAAAAAATTGTCTATGCCCTTGACTTCGCAAATTTGAGAACAGTCTGTATTAATTTTCGATTATAGTGATTAGAAAGATCAGTTCACTTTTTACTAATGTAACACTGACGTGTCCCGAAAAACATATTATCTGATGGATGCTCGTTTAATTCAACAAATTTGATAAATCCCAGAATAAATCATCCGAGAAATCTACTATGATTATTTCATTACTTGAACTGATGAATTAGCTCGTTATTCGATTTTGCAACAATGTAATTATTATCGGCTTTAATAAACATGAAAGCACTGAAAGTGAAAATCAGTTGAAAATGTGCAGAGTAAACAAATTTATGGTGATCCATGAATCACACAGTATGCGAAATCTGCAAGGGTCATTCTGGATAATCATTCTTTGATAATATTGTTTTTTATCACATTTTTTTCAAATCTATGGTGAGAGTGACTGACTGGCAAAACTTATTTTTGGCTAGGGTGGATCCTTCTAAGGTAATGAAATTCAATTTGTCTTATTCATTGCATTATAATTATTATGTTTCTGATAATAACAGAACTCTATATATACATCATACATTTTATATTTCTTGACATATTATTTGTTATGATATAAATGAACTTCACATAATTTGATAGATATTATCCATTCCTCAATGCAAATTTCGTTAATTAGTGTAGGTACTTTTTATCAATTGATGTGGTTCTCGATGTAGGTACATATATTAGTTCCAAAAATCTACTGGGCATCAAATAATACAAATCCATATTGTATCGAAAATGCAATATCTTTCGAAACAAGATCCTACCTATATTTTGGCTTGTTTATCCCCAATACATTTCATGTCACATTATTTACATCGTACTTACTTTTCCTGGACCAATTTTCATCGAATGATCATCCCTTGCCAACTATTAGGTATACACTCACCGGCAAAAAAGCCGGCCAACAAAAACTTTTTTCATTCGTGTCCGATTCTAGTGAAATTTTCACAAAATCATAGATTTATGTTTCGGAGTCTAAGCCTGAATCTTGACTAAAAAAAAGCTGATGGCCAGGGAAAACAGAAGTTGTTCTTTCTCCCTGAACCATCGTCCACCAATAATTAAAATATTGGTGGACGATGCCTGAACTTCTTAAAGCTCAGTGGCAAAGATGCAGAGTGCTTAAACTCAGCTCGATTATAATTTGGATTGAAGTGTGGTATTTTCTTTACACAATGCTTTTTGTTTCACGTCAATATCATATTTTTGAGAGTGTTTTAAGAAAGTATGTAATTTTTTAGTTTCTATTAACAATACCATTCTCCAACCGTCTCCTTCATCATGTTGTGAAATGAAGGGTGGTCCTTTTTCGTATTTTCTCAACACAATGGTTCTTGATTCACGTCAACATATTTTTTCTAAGAGATGTATGGATTTTTGAAATTTTTTATTTACAATAATTCAGGACCTTTAAAACATCTTGGGGATGATATCAGCTCGATGCCACGGCGGTTGAATGCTTAAATTCAAGTTCTAGTAGCACATACGGCATACTCGTCATTGACCACATCTAGGAGGTCCGCTTTTTATTTGTTTTTAGTAATTGAGGTTGCTGATGAATGCTCAAAAAACGAGGTGGAAATGAGTGAGATTAATGTTTAGATTTTTTTTTCGAGTTGTGAATCGATGACTATGTAGGTTATTCTTCAAATTCGAAAAATTCATACTTTTTTGAAAACATTTCGAATCATAAATCTACGATTTGGTCGGAATTTGACCAAAATCGGACAAGAATTAAAACAGTTACAAGGCGATCAATTTCGCTAAACCTTGCTGCCTATTTTCTCAATACAAAATGTTGTTTCACCTATATTGTTTTTCATTTTGGTTGACCCCGTTCCGTGATTACCGAATTGAACTGAAATTTATTACAAAAACAACGTTTTGGTTACAATATTTGAAGAGCACCGAGATTTAAGTTGTCCCGAGATCCCATATGGGAGATGAACTTCTGAGAAAATCAGCATTCGTTCGGCGCCATATCATATGTACCTCTGTATCTAGTAAAAGATCTAGTTTATGATATCAAGACCAGTGCAGTACTCACCTCCATTTCTGAATCAGTACCTATTATATATTTTTTTCGAAACTAATATTTACAAATCTATTGATTATTCTATTCGTTGAAACATGAACTTTTCGTCCTATTCAAGAGTTTTACCCTATCAAAAATGAAATCAGTTACACGAAAATATTGACCATAAATGGAAGTCTGATTTTTATGGACCACCTGGTACATATGCTGATGACATCATTCGTGATGGAGAAGTTTCAAAAGCACATGTATTGTTTGTCTATGGGCACATGTGTGGGCAAGTTAGAGTATATCTAACTGCTATTTTGAAAGATTGGATAACATTAATCAAACTTAAAAACAAACGTTTATACTGTCACTTGAGTTATCTGATACTTTTTTATCCATACTCGGTAGGTATATATAAATTATATCATTTCTAAATTCCCTCTTGTTTGTCCTCCATATTATGCTAAAATCTATGTTTCTTTCCAGGGAATAGTAAAAAGGTGTGGTGGTCTACCCTCCAACAATGTTCAACCATTCCGTTGCAATTTGGTTGCTATTGATTCCAGTACTTTTAAGTGAGTCAAAGATTTATTTAGTTTCTGAAATTTATGTAATCTCTTGTATTTTTATAGCAATAACGATAGATGGGCAGTACATTGGAGCCAGGCAAAGGATATTCCATCCCCTCAGAGGTTAGTATATATCAAATAAAAAATCTTGGTATAAAAGTATCGCTGATTTGCTAACGAATATGACACAAGGCAAGAGCCAATGATGTCCTCATTCAATAAGAAATTGTACAATATTTTCTTTGTTCAATTAGCACCTACTATACAAAGGGGTGATCAGTCGCCCCTACCAGATAATGATCCATACCCAGATAGCAGAAGTCTTCAAGAAATACACCCCCTGACAGACATCTTCAAGTTTAGACGGCAAGGCTTCAGCCACAACCAGGGTTCGTTGATTTGGTTGAGGTGTTCGGTTTTCTATAGCCTTATTGAGAGATGCTAAAAGCCTGCTGAACAAGTTATAATTTTTCCCTTGTAATAACGTCTCTAAATTTCTCTTTCTGGTGTAGGTTTCCCATCTGAAAGCACCAGTAACACACTAACATGACCTGCTTCAATAACTACTCTCTCGGTTAGCCTTCAAGAAGTACCTTCGATTTTTCAGGTTATGAGCCTAAGAAGCTACATCCATGTGAACAGAGCTCCTGTTACCCAGCCACTGGCAACTTGTTGATAGGTAGAGAAAGCCAGCTCTACTCTTCCTCTACTTGTGGTCTTCATGGTCAACAGAGGTACTGTATAGTATCCCATTTGGACGCTGAAAGGAAAAAATGTTTCTGGTGTGACTCTCGACCAGCGACCAAACCAAATCCATTTCTGAATCACAATATAAGCAATATTGTGTATAGGCTATTTCCTGGGTAAGTGTAGGCTTTTTATCAATGGTGCACGTGGATTGAGGGCTAATGGAATTTCGGATTTGCAGTACACGTCAGAAGTCATGGTGGCAATCAGAAAACGGGAAGGAAAGGGTCAGTATCCAGTTGGATTTGGAAGCAGAATTTCATTTTACCCATTTGATCATCACTTTTAAAACTTTTCGGCCAGCTGCTATGTTGATAGAAAGATCATATGACTTCAACCAGACTTGGCAGGTAAGTGTTTGGAGAATATTAGTTGAATCAAAATTCAATTTCTTTTTTGGAATAGGTCTATAGGTACTTTGCCCATAATTGCACTGAAAGTTACCCAGGAATTCGGGAAGGAACTGCCAAAAATTTAACAGACATCGTGTGCGAATCTAGATACTCCGGGGTTGCACCATCAACTGATGGTGAAATTATCTACAGGGTTTTACCACCTAACTTGCCCATTGATAATCCTTACTCTGAACAAGTTCAAGGTTTACTGAAAATCACGAATCTGCGTATAAATTTCACAAAGCTGCATACCCTTGGAGACGATCATCTGGACAGGAGGGAAGAAATTCAAGTAATATCTCCTATAATAGGTCCAGAGTTGAAAGGTTCTTATAGATGATTCTTTTAGGAAAAATATTATTATGCCATTACTGATATGGTTGTTCGCGGTTCGTGTTCTTGCTATGGCCACGCAAATCGTTGTTTACCACTACCAGGAATAGATCCCAAACCTGACATGGTCCATGGGAGATGTGAATGTACTCACAACACTAGGGGACGAAATTGCGAGAAATGTGAAGACTTCTTTAACGATTTGCCATGGAGACCTGCGATCGGAAAACAAACAAACGCATGTAAAAGTAAGTAAACTCTTTTGCCGCATGTTCCTCATTTTTTAAACTTGTTATTTATTAGGATGTAACTGCAATAACCATGCAACGAGTTGTCATTTTGACGCTGCGTTGTACGAATCAACTGGAAGAGTAAGTGGTGGGGTGTGTGATGGATGCCAGCACAATACAATGGGACCGAACTGTGAACAGTGTAAACCATTCTTCTACATGGATCCCCAAAAAGACATCCAAAACCCAGAAGTTTGTCGATGTAAGTGTTCAAAGTTCAAACCACCCTGCAGACACAGTCACCTTCCTGAAATATCGCATCGACATTTCAGTTTGACTACTCTACATTAACTCCACACTCTCTCATTCTATAGTATATCGAATCTCATCTAAATCTCAAATATTATATCTCCTCTGTGGTACAGCATATTCGATAACCATACTAAATCACACAAGTTCATCCATTGGACATCACAATAGTTTCAAAAAAGAGATACTTGAATGTTACATTCCGGAGATGTGTAGTTAATTTTTCATTAATTTTGTTCGTAGCATGTGACTGTGACCCACATGGTTCTTTGGATGGCGGTATATGTGACTCGGTGACCGATCCTGTCAACAATCTGGTAGCCGGGAGCTGTCACTGCAAAACAAATGTTGACGGTCGTCGTTGTGATGTTTGCAAAAATGGTTATTGGAATTTCACTGACGCGAACCCTGATGGCTGTCAAGAGTGTACTTGCAATACATTCGGAACCATCGACAACCAAGGTTGCAATGTAGGAACCGGTGAATGTTTCTGCAAACGTTACGTAACCGGTAGAGACTGTAACCAGTGTCTCCCGCAATATTGGGGGCTCTCTGACAAAAAAGATGGTTGCCAACCTTGTGAATGTGATCCAGGTGGTTCTGAAGATAACTTTTGTGACGTTATAACTGGGCAATGTAAATGTAGGGACCATATGACTGGAAGAAGTTGTAACTCACCTACACAACAGTACTTCACAGCTAGCTTAGACTTCTTACTTTACGAAGCTGAGGCAGCTAGATCTAGTGGTCAAGTTGTTATTAGAGAACCATACAGAGATGGCAGAGATGACACTTGGTCTGGGACAGGCTTTGTCAAATCCTTTGAAGGAGGCTTCCTAGAATTTGTAGTAGATGAGATAAAGACTACAATGAACTACGATATTGTAATTCGGTACGAACCAACTTCGCCGAACAGCTGGGAAGAAGTGACTGTAACTGTTGATCGACCACAAGGTAACCGAGAAGGAATATGCGCTGATGCAGATCCAGCAGATGACATCAAGACTGTTACGTTGCCTTCAAACGCAAGAAGTGTAACATCATATCCACCTAGTTGCTTCGAAGCCGGAAAAACTTACAGGGTTAGACTCGAGTTCAGACGATCTGAGTTCCAAAAAGAAGTGCCCTCAGCTTCAGTGTTGATCGATTCAATTGTATTGATACCAAGGATTGAAGATATTCCGTTCTTCCATGGCTCGGCAGCTGCTGACATCAGAAGGAAAGAATATGAGAGGTTCCATTGCTCTGATCCAAGGTATTTCGGGAAAAATGTAGATATCCCAGAAATCTGCAAGAAATATTTCAATAGCATTGCTGCATATGTTTTCGATGGAGCTTTCTGTAAGTCGGCCATAATCTATATCAAATTTATACACACTTCTATACTGGGTGTTCCTTAGGTCTACCGAAATCTCTTCGTGAGCTGTTTCCCAAGGCAACAATTAGAGTCCATATCAACGTGAGTCCGAAAATTCTTCCTTGCGAAATTCATACCTTATAGATGGGCTACTGAGAACAGTTTTCATCTGATTCCTCTATCACAATTGATGGGGATTCCAAGTTCGGTTACATTGTCTGATAATATTCTGGAAAAATCATAAATTGGTAGTTATTCAAACTAGTGAGATGGAGAGTGAAAATCACTCTTAGCTTTCTTATATTTTTTTCTAGAAGATCTCAACATATTCTAATTTGAAAAAGGACTCTTGTTGGCATTCGATAGGTGCAAAGTTCTCTTGTCAACTCAATTTGGAATTTTTATTTCACGGGCTTATAAACACCGTTCCATGAATATTCTTAAAACATCTAATCAAACACAAAACTCTTATTGAATTTTCGAACTTTTGTCTTTGTCCAGCAAAGTGTCGGAATTATTTATTGATAACCATTTTTCAGTGGCTCATCTTCAGGGTCGATCACTCCATGAGGAAGAATTCTCGGAGATTAATATGAGTTTGGGGATATCAGCTCACGAGATATTTTGGTGAACTTTGGAAACACCCTGGATAATTTATTGTTTTCAGCATGTCAGTGTGACCCGACCGGATCAGTAAGTAAACTTTGTGATCCACATGGAGGGTTCTGTACATGTAAACCAAACGTATTAGGAAGACGTTGTGACAGATGCGCGCCTGCGACATACGATTTCAGTCCGGAAGGTTGCAGATCGTGCGATTGTAATAGTATTGGTTCTTTAGACAACTTATGTAACGCTACTACTGGCCAGTGCAAATGCAGAGCCAACACCTATGGAAGAGAGTGTGATCAGTGCCGAACTGGTTTTTGGAGGTTCCCTAATTGCGAGCGATGCGATTGTAATGGCCATGCCGATATTTGTGAGGCAAAGACTGGTGTTTGTATCAATTGCAGAGATAATACTCAGGGAGACCACTGTGAATACTGCGTGAACAGCTACTTTGGCGATCCGAGAATCAACGTGGACATTCCTTGTAGACCATGCCCTTGTCCAGGTCCTATTGGATCCAACCATTCTTATGCCAACACATGTATGCTGAACCCTCACACCAAAGATGTAATTTGTGAGTGCCAAGAAGGTTACTCAGGAGCTAGATGTGATGTTTGTTCAGACAATTACTTTGGGAACCCCGAAGAACCTGGTGGTTCTTGTAGGAACTGCGAATGCAACGATAAAGTTGACCTTCTTGCTCCCGGTAACTGTGATCCACACACTGGAAGATGTCTTAAATGTTTGTATGAGACTACTGGGGAACACTGTGAAATTTGTAGAGCCGGATTCTTCAGATATGCCGATGACAAGCTGTGTGAGGAATGCGTGTGTCATATTCTGGGAACCAATAGCTCAGCTGGACCATGTGATCCTTCTAGTGGACAGTGCCCTTGCTTGCCAAATGTGTCCGGTTTAAGATGTGATGCTTGCATAACAAATCACTGGAAAATTGCTAGTGGAAAAGGTTGCGAAGCTTGTGCTTGTGATCCTCTAGGATCACTGAGTCCTCAGTGTAATGAAGTGAGTATTTGAAGGGCAATTCGGAAGAGTAGTAGTGAAGGTTTATTATTTTTCAGTTCGATGGACAATGTCAATGCAAACCTGGCTTTGGAGGAAGACAGTGCAATGAATGTATGCCTAGATTCTACGGCGATCCTAATGTTCAGTGCTTAGGTAAGTTGATAACAGGGGTGGATTCTCGCGATGTGTTATGAACACGAAAATTAGTCCTTACATATGTACGGTCACAGATGTATGGTCCTGAATTACAGAGATAACGAAACAAAATGCATCTGCACTGTTACAGAAAGTCAGAGACTGAGACCAAATATCCTATATACAATTTGTCTAGAACCCCCACTTATCTTTTGACTCGTTGAATAGAAAAATACTCATGAGATTGAAAAAAAAATTCCTTGTGAATGTGTGGAAAATAGGTGTTGAATTGCATCACCAGTCTTTTGATGAAGTAGGTATACTTATATAATGATAATAATAATAATAATAGATTTTATTGACAGGAACGAATGCTTTACAATAATTTACATTATTGGGTGGTAGAAAAGAAACCTAACGTACATTCCTATCAAAAGGTGACCTTGTCACGTGATTAACGCAATTAGAGCTCTTCCATTCAACCTGAACCTATACTGATGAAAATAATTCAGTAATAAAAAACGTCTAGCTATCAATAAACAGTCATGTACTGAAGATTTTTCAATCATCAACTAGGAATTCCACTGAGTTGTAATTTTCTTGTGAACCAATAATTATTTTGTGTGAAAAAATAGTGATAATGACACCTCACTCACTTGTTAATGTTTTTCAATGAAGCATTGGTATCAAATTTGCATTAGAGCAAGAGGAGGTTGCCATTATTATCTAGCTCCGTCCATCAATCATCTCGATGGAGTATTTCATTATCATTATTTCTCTGTTTCAGAATGCCAATGTGATCATATGGGTGCCAAAACAGATCAATGTAACATGCAGACTGGAACCTGTGTATGTCTACCAGGTGTGGGAGGATACAAATGTGACAGATGTGACAGAGCATACATAGGATCAGTTCCAGATTGTATACCTTGTGGAGAATGTTTCGATAATTGGGACCGTATTTTGCAGGAAGCTAAAAGTAAAACTATCTCCGGTTGGTAGATATATTTCCATCTTAAAACTTTGTTTTCCAGATCAAACACTGGAAATTATCGAAAGAGCTGGGGATATAAAGAAAGTTGGAGCCACTGGTGCCTACACTAAAGAATTTGATGAAATGCAAAACCAGTTGGATGAAATCGAACAGTTGTTGACTAATACTGATGAAGTTGATGTTGGAGAAATAGAAGATGAACTGCAACAGCTAGGAATAAGGATAAATAAAACAGAGAACGAGAAACTAAATAAGCTAGATGATGAATTGGATGATAATAAGCAACTGATATTGATCAAGGAACTGAAACTAAAGAGTTTGGTTGATAGTTTGAACAACCTGAGGAAGAAAATTAGTGAATTGGAGAAGAATGGAACCAGACTTCAAGAAGCGAACGTACAGGGTGCTCTAACACTCATTGGTGATGCGAAGGAAAAAGCTGACAGAGCAGTAAAAAAGGCTGAAAATTCTAAGGTACAAATTCAGATGATGTTCAGTACTTACTACCATAATCAAATATTGTTTTAGGATGATGTGGAATATGCCGAAATACAGTGCACTGCTACAGCAACGTTCATCAACAATACTGAGAAGATGTACACAAAGCAATCAGAAGATAACAAAAATGAGCTGCTGAATATATCGGCGAAACTTGAGAAACTCAATAGTCAGATTCCAGAGTTGAATAATTTAGTTTGTGATGGTCATGGGGACCCTTGTGACGCTATTTGCGGAGGAGCAGGTTGTGGATACTGTGGAGACTTACTTTCTTGCGCTAATGGAGCCAAACAGCAAGCTAACACTGCAATAGAGCATGCTAATAACACCGAAATAGCACTCAGAAACAAAGAAAGCTCAGCTAATGATTTCATCAGAAATGTAAGAAGAAGGATGTTTTCTAAAGGACATTGCTTGAAAGTTATTTTGTTTTCAGGTATCATTGATAAACACCAATGAAACAAGGACACTTGCACAAGAAACATTCAATAAAATTTTGGAGGAGTTGAAGAAGGCTAATAATTCTCTCAAAGAAGTCACCGATATGAGAAATGAAATGCGAGAATTTTCAGGACAAAACAACACGAAACCTGCAGATATAAAGAAATTGGCAGAGGAGGTGAATATAGGTAAATTACAGGTTCCTGTATTTTTAACTATGATTGTTTATTTTTGTAGATATTACAGAAGAATGTTCAGAAAACACCAGAGGAGGTGATGGAATTGGCTGAGAATATCAAAAATGCTGTTGATCGTCTCACAAATACTGATTACATCATAGAAGCTACAAAAGGTGATTTAGCTAGGGTGAACATTTTGAAAGAACAAGCCATATATGCAAAGTAAGTAATTAAATTATGTTTTTGGTGCCTAATTCATAATTCACCTAATATTATTCCATGGTGTTCAGTTTTAAATATGATCATTTGTCCAAGTAGAGAAACCCGGAAATCTTTCCTTTTTTTCCCAATAGTTGGCCTATTTGGCTCAAAATACCGATAATGGTGGACAACAAGAAATTTTCACTATCCTTCTGGTATATTAACCAGCCTGATTCATGTTTTCCACAGATCTAATGCTACAAAATTGCTCAAGGAAGCTGAGGATGTCAATAAATCTTTGAACGAAACCCAGGGTGCTCAGGTAGAAGCTGAAGAAGCTATAGAAAAGGCTTGGGATGACTATAAAACTGTAGAAGATATACTGTATGAGGTTTGTATCCATTGGAAATAGTGATTGATCGAAAATTTTGACGATTTTTTTATCCTTCCAGATTGGGAACAATACAGAAGCAGCACAGAGTACTACGAACGAAATTGATGAACACATTCGCGTTCTGAAGGATAAGCTAACAGATCTCCAGAGAAACATCACTGATAATGGTATTTTTGCAAATAGAGTAATTGAGGAATCCATTAATATTGTGAAAAATGCCAGAAAGACTACCGACGATTCAGCAGTATTGCAAAATAGATACAATAGTGCAACTAATGAACTGAAAGAAAAACTCGAGAATGTTAAAGCTACCAAAGAAAGAGCCAACGAGTTATTCACGAAAGCTCTGACTTTGGTAGCGAAGGTAACTAAGAGTCAAGAAGATATACAAAGATTGGAGGATAGTGGTCAAGGTGAGGAATTGGAAAATCTGGAAAATATTTTACAAGATTTGATAAGGAAAATGAACAGACATACTACAAAACTTGAAGGTAGGGTCCAATACTACAAATCTTGCAGTTAAGTCTGTAAATACTCAAAGATCACTGCCAGCAGATATATATGAGAAAATAATTTGAATTATTTTTTACTTTGTCCGTTCACTAGATTCTTGTACATATAATTTTTAAGTGTTCCATTTAATGTTGCTGTGATCTCAGAGATAACATGCTACCATATATCTTTTTAGAATCGAGTATAAATCCAGCGGGACATTTTTTATATTTCTTTGTGTAATCGTATTGAGTGTATTTCTGTAAATAAATAATTTATTATAGTATTTTGTTCATTTTCACACCAGTAGAAATATATAGTGTTCCTTTTCAACATCAGTAGTGACAATAAGGTTTTTCTTAGAGTAAACGTGTGCATGTGTATTTGATAATTTTATTATCACAAATGATTTACTTATTTAACAAAATAATTTATATTACATTCTATTTACATTACAAAATTAACCTAAAGTTAATCACGTATTTTGTATCACTGGTAACATGAGCATAATGAATAAATAATATAAAATCACTTTCACGTTCGAGTGTTTTGTTCTATCCAGTCTAAGTACTCGGTGACCCTTGTATAAACTCCTGGGTAACCTGGTTCCCCGCACTTGTTTCCAAATGAAACCACTCCTACTTGCACCCATCTGGCATCCCAATGAATCATCAGAGGACCCCCAGAATCCCCCTGAAAGACCCAAAATAACAAGGTCAAAATTAGAAACGTACACCCAAATTTCGTTCGAATGTCTTTCGGATGTCTGGACCTATTCGAACGTTGTTTGCAGATGATTAATATTATTCATTATACAATGGAAAAAAGTAGTCATCAACAGTGTATATATATAGATATATCTATCCGGGAAAAAAGTACTCACCTTTTTCCCACGGGAAAAAAGTAATTTATGAAAAGTGACATTTTATAACCTGCCAACAGACATAAAATGCCAAACTTTTTTCCCGTCACAGAAAAAAGCTTGTTTATTGACTTTTCAATGTTTTGGTCGGTTTTTGACTGTTATTTGTGTATGTGAATTCAACTAAGAATTATTCAACCCCCCCAAATAGAATATTATTTCTCAGTTCCCGACAATATGCGATTAAGAAAGCCTAATGAATTCTCTTGAGGTCCTGAAAAGTAAGATTCGAACAAGTGTTCAGTATTCTAGAATTCTTGGGAAAGAAAGCATGATTGCGCCTCTGCTTTACTTCCATTCATACATAAATGGAGAAAACCTCTATTCAACTGTGAGTTTGACCAAATTACCAGCGGCGGATTTACCGATACGTTTAGTATATATGCTTAGGGCCCCGACGTCACTATTTTCCCTCATCATTTGTTTGTATAAATAATATAATGATAAAAATATATTTTTCCTTTTGAGCAATAGGTGAATATTTTATATAGCAGCAGCGGCAACATTGCATTAATGTTGAAAATCATTGCTTTTTCCTGAACGATATGAGAGATAGGAAAAGTATAAACTTCCTCAATATGGCGTTTTGCAAAATGCAAAAAAATCGGTTGCGTTTTCCTCAAATATCAACTGAATAAAATCAAAATTAATGATCATTATTCCAGATTTTTTGGGATTTCCTCTCCTCGTTTCTATAAAATGAAAATTAGAGTATTATTTCAATATACACGTGTAGGAAGGACAAATCAGATGATTTGCCCCAAAATGTCACTGACAAGCTAGTGAATTTTCCTTTTAGGCTCTCTGATAGGAAAATTCTTTAAACCCAAAAAAGCTGGAATAATGAATGTACCACCTCCTCGATTAACCTACAGACAGTATTTAAAATTAATGATTTTCATTTTTTTTCATATGTCAGGAACGGCAAAGTTTTTTTCAGTTTGCAAAACGTGAACCGTTCGGGAAATGGCAATAAAGTCCCTATATGAAATAGGCCGAACCCTGATGAAGGAATGATGGACGTGTTTTAAAATGCGAAACTACTGCTTTGAACTTGATTTTAACACAAAATTTTGGAATGATTTGAATTTGAATTATGATGGCGCAATAAAAGAATTCTCAGATCTGTAATACAGAAAATATGGAGTGATATCATAGTATGTTTCTCCTAGTAATTTCGTTATGGTTTAGTTTTTTTATTTTGTACATATCTGATCCTAATCAGTATTATTGTTATGAATATTAGATCGATGGTATTAATAGATTAAAAATTGGTGACAAAAAAAAGAACGAGAAAAAATTAAGGCAGGGGCCCCAAGAATTATTGAGCTTAGGGCCCCAGAAATCGTAGATCCGCCACTGCAAATTACTGAATCTGTAGACACCAAAGAATTTCTTCTCCATTTCTGGACCTTTTTGACTCTCAGATAGTGGGTATTCTTGCTAATTTTGTAACTATTTCTTCGATTGATTGGTTCCTTCAGAGATTCAGGTAACTCACTTCATAAGTTTCTAAACAGAAGGTTTGAACAGGGTGTTATTTAAGTATGTGGCCAAACTTCAAGGGGTGATTCTAAGACGAAAAGTTCATATAAACATAGATCCAGAAATGCTTCGTTTTCAAGATACAGGGTGTCAAAGTTTCAATAAAAAACCTTTTTTTTATTAATTACCCAACATTCTGGTTTCCAAATTCAATGTTACTTAGTGATTTTGTTAAAAATGTCAAGAAGCTTCTTTTGGTGTAAGTGGATTCGAAATAATGCATCCAGTGGCGTCGTAGTGGTTACCTTTTCGTTATTTATGGTAAATAAGTTACCTACATCATACTTTTTTCCAAGTTCGATATTTTCATCGGGTTAAACAATTGAAAATACACCTTTCTTCTCCCTTATTAAATTTTTGTATGTCATTTAGTGTCTGAGGAAATATGGAAATATTGATTTGATCACAAATTTTTATATAGGCCCCCTTATTCTGTAATTTTGAGAGTTTTTCAGTCACCAACCAGACTAAATTTTGTCATCATGGGCAGGGTAATCATGAAAAATAACAATCAATATACAGGGTGGCCCACGAGGTTTTGGCCAGTCGATATCTCGAAAACTATTTGAACTACAATTTTGAATTTTTGTGGTTTTGAACAATGGAATGCGGTGACCATTTTTGGTATAAGAGGGCTTTATTGCAACATCGCATTTCCAATCACGTGGTATCAACTTCAAAATTTTCAATGGTACACCCTGTATATTATTGCATTTTTGTGAAGACCTTTCTAATGCAAATACTATGATACCATCATTGTCAGGGTTTTCATGTGAAACGGTGACAATATGAGCTGTCAAATAAATGGAAAATGGAAAATTTATTAAAGAACAACAGTATAATTAGGAAACGAAACAAAATAAGTAGAAAAAGCATTACAGTTGATGCTCAAATTGATGTCCATCTTCAGTAACGCAATGCTCAAATCTTGTTAAAAGATTTCTAGTGCATGCTGCTCTAATCATTTCAGGTGTAACAGTTTGGCACGCTGCTCTGATTTTGTTTTGCAAATCATCTAAATTTGTAGGCTGTGTAGAATAAACCAAATCTTTCAAATATCCTCAGAGGAAAAAGTCTAAAGGTGTCATATCTGGGGAACGAGCCGGCCAATTTATTGTACCATTTCACCCAATCCATTTTTCACGGAATGTATTATTGAGATATGTCGTAACTTGCACGCCTACTATTTTTTCGACACTCGCCGTATATGAAGCAGCATATTGACATACTCGTCGTAAGTAAAATGTAAAGGCATACTAGTCTTGATACTACTTGTACAAAAAGCCAATCTACTGATACTGATTGACAGCCCTTGACAAGTGCGAGGATACTTTTTCTCTTCCTAAGCTACCACGTTTTTTGAATAAAAATACAGAAATGTTCATAAAAACCTCTTTATCTTAACTGTAGTGCCAAAAACCGCTGACAATTATGGAATCGTAGAATTTGTATTAGAAAGGACTTCACGAAAATGCAATAATATACATGGTGTCCCATTTGAAATTTTGAAGTTAATGTCACGTGATCGGAAATGCGATGTCGCAATAAAACCCTCTTATATCAAAAATGACCACCACATTCCACTGTTTAAAACCACCAAATTTCAAAATTATAGTTCAAATAGTTTCCGAGATATTGACTGGCCAAAACCTCGTGGGCCACCCTGTATACTACCAACTTCCACACCCTGTATCTTGAAGACGAATCATTTTAAGACCTATGTTTATATGAACTTTTTGTCTTAAATACATCCAAATAACCGCCATACACTAAAATAATACCCTGTATATTTCCAGTTCAGACTTTGGAGTGAAGAATTTTGGTGTGAAGAGGTAGGAATTGAAAGTCTTCTGAAGATAAGAAAAAATAATACTCCGAAAGTCGATCTACGAAGTGTAAATTTTTTCGGCCACCGAAAGCAAGAGTGTTCGAAAGATGAGGGAAGGGTAACTATATATATTATCTCAATGGAGAAAGAGAGTTGTTGAAACTGTTGATAGGTCAGGTTCTTCCTAGAAAATATATTTTTCATAAAATTACTTGAGAGAACAGAAGAGACTACTGCTTTTAAACAACCTAAGCTGACTCGGCCTAAATGAACCTTGCTTCCGTCATTACAGGGAATGCCTGAAACTATTAGGCAAACGGTGTACCAAATTTAGAGTTACGCTGTTTGCCGGCAATACGTAAAATGACGGATTTCACTGTTTGACGCCGACATGTACATATGCTAGTAGATTTAGAAACTCCTAAACCCGCGTTAATGCATTTATAAATTATACTATAACATCAAGAGCCTGGCAGCGCTGTACATTAGTATGGTTAGAAATGTGAACATTTCCATTTTCGTATTGCAAAATATACCGTTGTACAGAGTAGGTTGGGTCTGCACAGTATTATAGTTAGTAAATACGTCACCCGGAACATACTCCATACCTGACAAGCATCGGTGCCTCCTTGTGAATAACCAGCGCAAATGAAGTTGGCAGTAATCGGCTGGAAATAGGCCTCATTGCAATCCTCGTTCCTCCAAATAGGCAACACCGCCTGCCTCTGCACGGTACTCTCTTTGCCCCCGTAGTAAGTGGTACCCCATCCTACGACAGTCGTTTTCCTCCCGGCAAACTTGTCGTTCCTGAGTTGGGGAGGGGGCAAACAAAGGGGAATTATGTACTTTGATTTCCTGGCTGGTCTGTCCAACTTCAGGATGGCTATGTCGTTGTAGTAGCCCACTCTGGAGAACTGCTTGTGAGCTCGGATTTCTGCCACTTTGAATGTTTCTGGGCCCGATGGTTCGTCGTTTCTTTTCAGGTCTATGTCGCCTAGTCGAACCGTGAATTGGCGGGCAGCGAATCTGGAAGAAAATTCGATTGCCACAAGCAGAATGATCAACTAAGCAAGAATGCCTGGAAATACACCAGAGACAAGAATCCTTTTTTGTTTTTGGACGTATGATGAATTGGTATTGTTTGTATCTCTAAAAACATAAATGTTACCTAGAGAAAGGAAAACCATCTAACATATACCTACCTATACCTATAAAATATTATAGCTGGAGCACATTATTCAAGCATAATCTAGAAATTCTTATCAGCTGTAGAAAGCATGGTAAGTCAAGATTCTCAATATCTGATTCGAAAATATCACCGGATATATTATACTTTCAGCTGGAAAGGCTAGACAAATGAAATAGTCCAACTGAAATGTCAGCAAATATCAACACCCGATAGCGAAATTGAGCTATGATTGGTTATATTTTCCAGTCTCACTCATCGGATGTTTTTCATTCATTTTACTTACGGTCTTTGGCGAGAATCTATCGTACAATGGGCAGCTGTCAAGACATGTGTAGCTGTGAGTAAGGAACCTCCACACCAAAATTCAGTTCTTCGGGATCCGTGAAGAAAAATCGCAGCCATCCATGGCCATCTCCCGGGCAGAGCCTCTTCACCACCCACCACTCGGAATTTGGCAGATTCTGGCTGACCACACTCTAGAAGGAAGTTTCCGTACTACTTTACTCTAAGGTATTCGTAACCAAAAAATAAATCACACGCAGTCGGTCGAGCACAAAAATTGTATTATTGACGTGTTATTTGATTTGGTCGATGTTAGGCGGCTCGGTGGTCGAGAGCGTAAGGCGCTGAGTTCGTATGGGGACTCCCACCGAGACATAGGTTCGAATCCTAGTTAGGCCATGGATGTTTGTTGTATGCTTACCTAACCCCGCACAAGTTTCGACTTATGGGGCGTTTGGTCCCAGTGCTGGGACCAACGAGGTAATGCAATTGCAAAAAAAACTGTACCGTGAAAGCAAAGGAATGATTTTCACCTATAGTTTAACTTTGCTTGGGATATTTAGATTTCCTTTTACAACATGTGCGATGTACGATTTTCCACAATTTTGTACATCTTTTTATTTTGTCTGGCAAAGCCGGGTCCTCTCCTGTAAACGATGTAAAGGAAGGAACGTGTAAAAGTCCTCGAACGATCACTCATTCAACGGGACGAGAGGATTCTTGTCAACATAAGTAGCAATCAGGCCAAAGCCTCTTGCGACGGTGACCCATCAAACGTAACAAGATGAATCTTGTTGACATGGGTACCTGGGGTGATGAGGATAGCCCCATCAGGTCGTACATACGGCCTGATGCCTCACCAATTGGGTTGGACTCCAGGGGGCAGCGGTTTCCAAAAATCACCACCGGACTACGGTAGAGGAGGTGAAGAAGAATCCCACTATGGGTCAAGTGGGAGGATATCTTGCCTGCCTCGGCGGGTGAGCAGCGTTTCTGCCCGGGCACTGACACTGCAGAGCTAGTAGTCTGTCTTATCAGACGGCCTCACCATTGGTATAATAAAATGGTAGCAGGAGAACATGCCGTTATATAAAGGAGATGGCTCTAGCGCGCTGATTTGGCGTATCCAAATCCTCCATTTCTCCCAGGGGTGCTGTCAGTAAAAGTCGAAAGATAGGTGACCGGCAGTCATCCCCTATGGGAGTCTTGTGAAAGAGTGGTGGGATTTGGTCCCACCCGGTTGCTACCCCGGCAACATACTGATTGATTGATGGTGGCCGAACCTATAGTAACACGTCAATAATAGTATTCCTTGTTATCGACCGACATTTGCTGCAATGTGCTTTATTTCATCTGATATATCTGGGATACCCGTTTGAGGTACACATTTATAATTATTCAGAACTAAATAGTCCTCAGCCTAACAAGAACAATGAAGAAGTAATCGAGGAATATCTCAACTCAGTACTAACCTCCTGGATCCACATAATTATTTCCTATGACTGCTACTGGAGGTAAGTTATTAGGGTAGCTGGGTATATTGATAGGAGGTTTGGTTACAATAACACTGGGTACTGGAGATAATTTTTGAGGTTTCTGAGTGGTTGTTTTTTCTGTGTTGTAATAAATGGCAGCAAAAGTAACTGGGCGATGTGTGGTAGTCGTGGTAGTACTAGTACTAGTCGGGATAGGGCTCAGGCTATCCGGTTGAGAGTTAGCAGATTTTGGACAGCAGACACCGGGGACAAAAAGGCTCTTGAAGCAGAGTGATTGCCTCAAATTTCCTAGGTTGAGTAGAAGTTGTGGACAGTTACTCAAGTCATCACAGTATCTGGAAATTGAAAAATAAATTGCAATCTTTCGATGTAATCAGCAAAAATGGTAAGGGTTACCCTTCTATGCCTTCAGGCGTAGTACAACTCCTTGGATCTTCATCTTCATCATCTTTGTCAACTTTCTCATTTTTGTTAGCATTCTCGTGGTTCACCGTGTATACTTGGCTACTACTGGCTACTAGTTGCTCATTGGAGTAGTTAGGCTCCTCTACTGGGGGCAAAGCTTCTCTAACAAAGGGAGCGATGGTATCAGTCACATTCCTCCCTAGCACGTTCTTACTGATGGTATACAAAGCGCTCGGTACGTCTGGGGACAAGTTGTTCGTGTTCTCCCCACCGGTCTTGGTTATGTTGACTAGGTATCTGCCGACTGTGTTCAGGGCTCCTAAGGTTTCTGTTATCTTGTATATGGTCTCTGGTTTGAAGTGTCTTCCAGACTCGATGTTGTCGTTCGATTGGTATTGTCTGTCTATGTTGCGACCTTGTGGTTGCGGGATTCGCATCCATCTGGGTGAATTGTTTTCGATGTCCAGCCACGGTTCGTAATATTCCCTCGCTGTGAATTCGTTAGATTGGGGGAACAGTAGACAAAGTATTGGCAATCGACCTGTAAAATGTACCCACATTTCGTAAGGTTAAAGTTTATTGATCTGTAATTTCCATTTAGGTAATTGGTTTTTGGAACAAGGTTCAAGTTACAGTTATTCGAAACAATAGAGCTACAAAATGGGCCTGTTTTATTGAGAAAGTTTATTTCATGTGGAGTACTAAACCCAACTAGTTCACAGTTGATCAACGTGTAACTCCTCCATCAAATCTTATATATTGTCGCATTTGTAATGATGTCTACATGAATTTGTAAGAATATACGAATATACCTACTGGGGGTTCCATTAGAAAAAGATGTCTGATGGTTTCTTACGGTCCTCGCATATATATGCAGAAAAGAAATTTTTATTCACTGTATAATGAAAGATAAAACTGTTTGCTTTGAGTGATAAGTTTGTTGTATACTAAAATATATAATTTTCTTATTATATCGTTTATATCGTTATCGTAGGTTAGTTTTAATTGAATGCAAAAAGAAAGCGTGTACGTATAGTTAGTTGGTTCTAAGACTAATGAGCTCTCAGGTTTTTTATTTATTATTTTAAATATATGAAGTCTTCATACTTTCTTCTTGATATTTATTCAGGGCCGTATTCTGCAATATATAAGGTCTTGAATGTGGTCTGAATATTCTCAAATATAGGTGATATATAATGCTCATTTTCTTCATTTTCTTCATTTTCTCAAAATAAATTAGCCTTCTAAATTTCAGAATTGAATCAGATATAGATGAAGAATATACCTCATGACCTGACACACTGAAAAGTTATTTTGAAATGGATGAAATATTTGCGGTACCCTCATTATATATTATTCTTGAAATTATTTTTTTCATATATGTTATACAAAATAATTAATGTTACGTTCAAAATATACAGTCTTCTATTCAAAAATCGAGAGTTTTGGTATCATTTTTCTATATTCATGGAAGTTGAAAAAGTTGCCTCTAAATTCAGTTCAGATATGCAGTCTGTTATTAACTCCTAGGTATATTCAATACAGATAATCAACGAAGTCAAATGATATTTATGAAATTGTAATAGATACCATTTCAACTAGTACCTATCAATAAAATTGTTGAGTAACATAAAGAAAGAAAAAAGTTGATGGTATTATTTAAATATAATTTTTTATATATCAAATTCGGACGAAAATGGAAAAAATGTAGTTTATGAAATTTTTGTACAGGGAGAACAACAAGTCAAGTATAGGAGCTATCGAGCTATGCCTGTGATACCCGGTATAGAAATACTGATCGAATGATTCTTATATGGATTAATGGAATATATACAGGATGACCTGAAGAAACATTTCTAACCGAATTTCATCGAAAAACGCGGAAAACCAGTAGTTTTCCTAATAACAGTAGTTTTCTTTTGGCTACCCGATATAACACCCTGTGTATGGAAGAGATCGTCATAATAACTGTGTTGCGCTATGCATGGGGAACTCCATTACGTCAAATACTGAAGCGGATGTTCACGTTTCTTCAAGTTCGGTGAAAGTGAAAACGTTCCGATAGCTACCTTGACACTGTAATAATAAAAGTACCACCTCTGGTCATATTTATGTTATAGGTATGCACGGCACACAACGCCAGGTTACGCAACAAATTAATAAATCTCCGATGAATTTCATAGAATGAAAGAATAAGAGGTCAGCTCTACAGCGCTAATGGAATTTTGATGTTTCATCCTTTCTTCGGAAAACGGGAAAACGGGTATCCTATACAGCGATATTCGAGGAAGAGAGGGGATTTATTATTTAATTCACTTGACACGAAAATAAGTTATCTAATATCAGTGTAGGTATAGGTATACCCACCTACTAATGAATATACAGAGTGTCCCATAGTTATAGCAATCAATACTTCGATAATAGTTTCACCGACCAAAAATACGAGAAGTTTCGATGAAAATGATTGATGTTTCATCCTTTCTTCGGAAAACGGGAATCCTATACAGCGATATTCGAGGAAGAGAGGGGATTTATTATTTAATTCACTTGACACGAAAATGAGTTATCTAATATCAGTGTAGGTATACCCACCTACTAATGAATATACAGAGTGTCCCATAGTTATAGCAATCAATACTTCGATAATAGTTTCTCCGACCAAAAATACGAGAAGAAGTTTCGACGAAAATGATTCTTTGTTATATACTATTTCCGCTTTCAAAAAAATGAACGAATTAGTTTTTTTTTTACAGGAGTTCATTCAGTAATTATTTTCGAAATTTCTCCACATCGCATTTTGAAAATTGTGAGACTTTCAGGCGAAAGTTGATGAAGGAAATGACCATTTTGATCAAATTTGGTAAATCTACCGTGCGAAAGAGGGTTCAGTCAGATAATTTGAAATTTCCTCATTTCACCATATAGGAAACATATTTTTTTAAATTGTATTCAATTATATCTGACGACTTATACAGTGGAAATTCGGGGAGCCGAATCGAAGTTTTCGCTGCCAATGTATAGTGTGTTTCACTATTAAGTGGCAACAATCCGTCATTTTTATAACGGGTCGCCCAATTTTTCATAGCCAACTCACTACGATAAGAAATAGGCTCGAAAATAGGACACAGAAGTGAAGAAAATATATTGTTAGGCATATTTTTACAATAAAAACGAATTCTACTATCGATTTAGCTTATATATACTATACCCACTTAATTTTTCGAGTTAAAACGATCATTTGAATTTCGTATATGGCTTGAAGATCATCCGATTAGATGTGATGTGACCCACTTTTTCTATTATTTTGTATCGTGGGAGCTATGTAGGAAGTACAAATTGACAATTTGCGAATAATAATGTCTGCAGAGAAATTTATTGGAAATTTAGAACTGCCAGAATACGCCAAAATCCTATGCATATTCGGGGTGTCCCGAAATTGCATAGAAAGATTTCAGCCACAGATTCTAGTATCAAAAATAGTAATGAATGTGCATAAAATCATGAGCTGAGAAATGGGCCCCTAGGGAGTTAAAGTTATCTGGAAGATGATGTTTTTTTTCTAAAACCGAAACCCTCTGTGGGGCTAGAGGTATTTCTTCCCCGTAACTTTTTTTTCTATGCAATTTCCGGCAGTTTGACCAGAAAATATGAAAATATCATCATTTTTACTTGAAAATCATACTCTTGTTCAGTTACGATAGTACTCACAAAAGTCTGCTGCGTAAGAAGAATAGTCCTTTTTCCTTATGATAGGGAACCAAATTTTCCCAAAAATGATGTTTCGATAGAAAATACCCTTGTTTCAACATCCACTTGTAATGTTTGACTCAAAATATGACAGGAATACTAAAGAGAGTGATTTGAAAAATATTCTGCTATAGGTACCCTCGTACTATTTTTATTACGCAGCAGACTTTTAAAATCGATGTATCTCGAAAATGGTGAGAGCACCTTATCGAAATTTTGGATAATTCTCAACATTCCAAATCGGACATGTACAATATCTCGTTATCTTATAACTCAGAGAGTTTCAGAAATAAACAAAAATGGCTATAACTCCCCAAGGGGCCATTTCTGGTCTCATGTTTTTATGAATTTTTTTACCATTTTTGTTCCTAAAAGCTGTGGTTGAAATCCTTCTATGTAATTTCTGCACACCCTGTATAGAATGACAATTCGAATCGGTCGATTAACAGCTTCATAAATACATATATTCTAATGTGACAAAGCAAAAATTCTTTGCATGTCGAAAACCTGGAAATTAGACTTCTTCCAGAGTGAAAACTCAATCACAGGATATTATATATTATATACAGTGTGGAAACCTCTAGTATGATGAAATAAAATCCGTATATATAATAAAGTGGGCATTGTTTTGTAGCAGGACAGTTTGAAGAACACATTTTTCAAGAATAAAAGTTCATGTCAACATATTTGCGTGGGAGCTTTCGTTTCCGATATACAGGGAGTCAAAGTTTGAGATTTTTTCCACGTTTATCTAGTTTTCCCCTACAATTTTCGAAATAATGAATTGAAATTTGGTATACCAATCACACCCAAAATATTGAATATTTTGGGCTATTAGGCGATTACCTAGATAAATGCCAAAAATAATTTATTTGTGATGAAAAATTATTTATTTTTTCAAACACATTCTCGATTTGACATTTATTAAAAATTGACTAGAACTCAGTGGCAATGATTGAAAAACACAAAAAATGTATGAAAATATCACACCACCTGTAATCGGAAATAGCTATGTTTATATGACATTTTTATCTCAAAATAGTATCTTCTTTAAGCTGTTGAAGTTCTGCTACAAAAAAAATGACTCAACCTGTAGACAGGATGTTAGTCAATTGAGTGCCGATAATACAAGGTGTGCATCCTCCGGTGATTTTGAGGAGAAAAGTTCATATCAACGTATGTCCTGAAACTCTTAGTTTTTGAGACGAAAAGTATATAAATAAAAATTGTCAAACAAGTTCATTAGCTATTTGATGATATCTTCTAGTACAAGGAATCGCATATCAACTTTCAGACAGTTGATATTCGATGTACAGGGACAGTTGCTGCCGCTTTTTAAATCAAAAAAATATATGTCCATTATGAACAATCACGAAGTTAGATGATGAGGTTTTACCAGTTCTGTAGGTAGGTATGAGGTATATCTTCGCCACCCTGTGTACCAAAAAGGGTTGAAACTGAAATAGCTAATATATACATATAAATATATGTAGCTATAGTATTAAAATATATTATATCAATACTAAATTATTTGTTTATATAGGTATTGCAGAGATAATAGGTATCTCGTCGGTTTTTTTTTTGATTTGTGCGTAAACGAAATTCACTGGAATTTGTTGGGAGCGTGAAATTTCAATTGGATGTATCATTCAGGTTACAAAAAATCAGTTTATTATTAAGGTCTCAAATTGTGCCCGCCGCACCGTCCCAGTTGATTTTTTTCTTCAGGATGACGATTACGATGAAAGGAACATAAACACACGAAAATGCAATTATTTTATTATGCGTACCTACCAATCAAAGTAGTCCACAAATGCATCCTGAAGTGCATCCTAATCCACACTAGCACAATAACATTCACAGAAACAAGTCACCTAACTGAAAGTTAACGTTTGACCCAAATTTCCTGAGTAAAGACAAGTCAAAGAAAGTGACTGTTGGTGTTGACTCCCTTCTTTCTTCAATTTCTCCCACTTGCATATTTTGACATTGCTTTTTACTTTCGTTGAGAATTAAGAAGAATTTCACTTAGTTAATGCATGCTGGCTTGCTTGTCCGATATTATAAGTACTCTTATCTACTGAACAAATCGAAGAAAGAATTATTTGAGGAGAGGAAAGTAAAGATTATTGTAAACATTCAAAGTGGGAGGTGACCAGAAGTGATTCATTTTTAGATTATATAATTATTAGTAGGTTGTATATTTTGATCCCCATAAATTGGGGTAAATATACCGGGTGTTAAACGAATTTGTTATAGACAAAGCCATCATAACTTCAAGAATATTGGGTGTATCAAAATGAAATTCAATATGGTATGTGAAGAGGAAAGTTTGCGCATATTTCACACTTCCCGGTCTCTTCCGGTTTCACCGGAAATTGCTCCAGTTTTGAATTATTAAATGGAACACCCTGTATATTCCCAGTTAACACAAATTGATCTCAGAGACGTCAGTACACTTCACATTCATGATTGAGATCACACCCGCGATTCGATTTGTGAATCACGTCGACATCTCCAGATCCTCTATTCCGGACCCTTTTGGTCATTTTTCGCTTCACATTTAGATGCCGAATGGGACTCAGAAGTTAGCTGAATGTGACTCCAGATATCACGTTGAAAGAAGACTCACATTGAGGTCACATTATAATCAGAATGTGAGGTTTAGAAGACCATCGACCATTTCTGAATGTGAGGTTCTTTTCGATTATTATACTGGTATCGTAGCGTCCCTGAAAGAATCATATTGTGCGTCTCAGAAATGCTACATACACATTGATTTTTGATGTCTCAAGTGAAATCACATCTAGATTGATGAAGGTATTCAATGAGAGAACTAATCGGTCTCGAATCTCTGTCAAATAGATCAATCAAGGGTTTCACAAGGCAACTCGATTTTATTGAAAATTAGTCTCATTACACATCAGAATAGGTAAGTACGTACATGTTATGTTGAGCAAAACTACCTAGATATAACAATGATTGAAATTAGAAAAACAGCACAGGCCTAGACTTTTTCGAATAATTATACAGGGTTATATATCTCCATGAGTTAACGCGATGAATATGGAGAACTGAAAGTAACACAAGAGAATCCAATATTTGCTCCTCATCTCTCCTTCCGTTGTAGCATGGTAACCAATCCCTGCTCAGAATTTCAAATTGTTCCAAGGTTGTCCAGATGACTTTTGTGATTTGACATCTGAAAATGAATATAGAAACAATCAATTGATTTCATTTTGCCCATTTCCTGTTCAGAATATCTTATAGAGAGTGAGTAGAGAACCATAATGAGAGTATTGAAAAATGTTCAAGTCACTTTCATATCTACGTGGAGTCGTGTAAGATTGATATTATTTATGAGAAGATGAAATCACACTGCATACCTACTGTTCTATACCGGGTGACAAAGAAGATAGATAATAGCTGCGGCGCATTTTTTCCTTCCATTCATAATATTTTGCAATAATTTTGTTCTTAATCAGACTTTCCCAATATACAATCAGAATATGCATGTTCACTTATACCCTGATCCCAAAATGATATATTCCAAGGTATCATTGTAAGTATCATCATATAGTCTTGAAATGGCGACGTGGTGTCGTCTACCCTGTCTTCATTGTCAACCAGTATATAGGTATATTATTGTATCAAGTTATGAACGTTGTAGTTACTTACCCTGTAACTTAGATGAGAAACACACAGTATCTTTAATCACAATCATGATTTTCGATTAGAAAGAGATGCTTATTCAGTCTAAGCAATAACGCCAAACACGAACTGCATAAAAACACCAAATGAACTAATGCACTGAAACAATGAAATGGACGAGACAAAAGCATGCCGTCGCTAAAGAATTTACAGACACGTGTACATCAGTCAGACCGACACTGACCGAGTGTGTACGAAACTTTACATAAGTCACATTGTGCGCTACATTCATGAGTATGCGAGTACACTGATATTTCCAAGTATTGTTCGATATTACTTTCATAAATGAATTTCCTTGAGATGTGAGAGAGATTCACATATTGAAGCATATTTTCGTTTCTTCATTCTGCACAATGTGAATCAGTTTGTCAATTCAGATACATCAAATTATGACTCTCAACGACTGAAATTTCAGATTCTGAAATTATAGTCGTTGTGAAGTTAAGGGGCCTCATAAATATTATATCCATATTGGTCTCAGATCCAACAGAATGTGATGAAATTTGCGAACTATCTGTCACACAAGGAATTCCTTGTAGATATCAGCGATGCAATATTGTGATTCGCTTTTGTGACATCAACTGCCATGAATGCGACATCTCATAGATGTTTGTGTTAACTGGGTTGTAACATTTTTGAGTTCCTGGCATTTTCAGAAGTTTTCACGCCTACTTCATTTCTTTAGAGTCCCTTTTAATCTCTGGTTTTTTCAGAAAGTTATAATGAGAAAGTTTTAGATACTTATAGTATGGATAGATAGGAAGAAAACAAGTTGACAAAATCACATTTCCGTGTCTATTTTTAGATCAATCTAACGATACTATAATTTATTTGCGATCGGATTAAAAATAACATAAATTCAATATTTCTAATGAAAATACTGGCTATTTATTTATTTTGCAGTTCTTTTTGTGGAGTTTTCTTTGGGAAACAAAACACTTAGGTGATGACAGTGACAATAAGCCTTATGAGCAGACAGTAATAGTACATTGTTTCATTAGGATCAAATGTGATGACACTTTGTTTGACAAGCGATATTTGCGTTTGCGAGGCGGAGCGACCACGAAGCCGAGCACGCACATTTTGCGAGTCAAGCAGTCACTTTTGATCCGAATGAAACGTGCTATTTTTTCTGCAATCTATATAAGTAGTTGATATTTAATTAATAAAATATAAGTGAAGCTTCCACTATTTTGTGTCACTTGAGCTATCTCAGCTGTCATCCGACACGTTTTTAGCTCCTATATGAGTTAAACTTCCACTTTTGCTCCCAGACACTAAAAGTGTTGCCTAGCACTATACATACTAATCATTTTATCGTGTCAGTAAGAGGAACGTCAACCTCATCTAGATCAAAAATTGATAACTATCGGTATATCGATTTGTCTATCGAAAATTTTTGAATGCGTTATTCGAGAATGAGCACTCACATTCTTATTTGTTCAACAATAATGTAGAAATCTCGCATGCGACAAAATATCTCACCGTTTGAGAATAGGGTCCCTGGTGTCACGCAAACTTTTCATTTTTTGAAGTCTTCAGTATGACATTTTCCCCATTATACAGGGTGATTCAGGTTTTGAGGCACAAACTGTAATGGGAGATAGATCTCATCATTTCAATCGGATAAGTTCATATAAATAAACATTAGTCCGATCTCGTCCAGAAGCGGAGCTACAGGGGGTCAAAGGCCAATAATTTTTTGTTCTATTAATTGAAATATCTCGCTTACTTCTTGAGATTTCATTTTGAAATTTGATGTGGTCAATACTTCCTAGAAGATCATCATTTCAAGCTATTTGAAGATTTTCAAAATCTACAGTGTGATAGGTTTTTGTGGGTAGAGGCTTCTTTATCCCCCCCAAAATTTTTCGTCGTACGCCTCTGGCATTTTTCACTGATAAAATTGTGTGGATCGTTCAATTTATTTTTCGTGTGAAGTCTACCATACGATTTGGCAAGGAATTATTACCTGATACATAGATTAACGGATAGCATGATTCAACACATAATTACCTGCTACCTTCCCTGACTCGAAAGCAGCTGTGCAGTTTTTTGCTAAAGTATCGAAAATAAAATATTTTTGAAATTTTAGAGTCTTTCATACCTATGATTTGGATAGGAATGATTATTCGATAGAGAATGATTCGAGATCCAAAAGCAACTGTGCAGTGCTTTCACAATGCTTATTATTGTTTTTTTTTAAGTAGGCTGCTCTAGGGCATTAAATATTAATCATGATAATAATGGGTTAGATATTCCCGCTGATTGGTTTTGTTCTTGTTATTATCAACATCGCCGAGCTTGACTTCATACAGGGGCGGACTGGCCCGGAGGGCGGGAGGGCGAAGCCCTCCGCGCCTTTGCCCAGTGGCGCCCTTGCCCCTGGCCCCTGGTATACTAAGAATTTAAGAAAGTAAAGAAAGAAAAAACGCGCTGCTATCGCGCCTTACGAAGGCCAGAAAGCAACGTTTTTAATTTCATTTTCGAATGCAGACTTTCTACTCAGAATGACGAAATTGTTACTTGGAATTCTGACGTCTTACAATTTCAAAAAATGTCAGCCGTTCCTGAAATATTTTGAAAAAACTTTTCTTAGTCAATATTTGGGAAAAGCTATTGAAATTTTGTATATAAACAGGTGATTGATCATGATGAAGAAGTTGGGATTGTCAGAAATATTTTTCAATATTTTCAGAGATTCAACATGCAAACTACGTTTTTCTTATGGGCGCTATATCTGTTTTTATATACCATTGAATGAAAATAGCGCTAAAGAACAGTGAAAACATTTTCAAATGTGGTAGGCCATGAAAATGAGAAAACATATATTATCAGTCGTCATGACCACAATATCGATACTTCTTAATAACCATGAATAACTTGCTACATTATTACAAAAGGCACAGAAAACCTCAGAATATAAATTTTTCGTTGAATAATCAAGATACTATTTCCTTTAACTATTATTGAAGGTTATCATTCAGTGTAAGACTTGGTCTTGACATAAGTTTTATTCCAGTTATATTTCTATGATTGAATTTGAATTGGTAAATCTCTGAAAATAATAGATAGAATATTTCTGAGAATCCCAACTTCTTTACCATCCATGATTAATTACCTGTTCACACCAAATTTCAATATTTTTTCTCTAATATTAATCAAGAGAATAATTAGGAACGAAATCAGTGATTTTTAGTCTTTTCAAAATATTTCAGGAACGGCTGACATTTTTGAAAGTGCATTACGTTATATTGAATAAGTTCAAATTAAGCAACGTTTGTCCTATCTAATCAACTTTATATCTCTTACTGTTTGGGAAATAGCAATACTGTGTCTATTAAATCGTTGATGGGACACTGTATATTTCTTTACCACGGAAAGACCTCTCAAAGACCTTTCCAAAGACACATCATTCAATATAATCATCTTCCATATTTTTCAATTCTTGAGTATCTAAGACTAACAGAGTTTGATCGATTTTTGAAATAAAATAATAAGAATGATTGCAAATCTGATCAGTAAAAAATAAAATTGTTATCATTGTCATGGCCTATACTCTCAAACACTATTCAAAATCCATGAAACTCTGATGTTTGTTTCGAATCGTTTTAAAAGCCTATATTTGGAGGAATACATGCAGAAGATGAATATATTGAGTAGGTATTTTTTCAGATAGTAAGAATGCATCTGTTTATTCGAGAAGGAGATAATATCATACATCAATAATCAGGGGTTGTCTTTAATTTTTCATGCAATATTCCAATATTGGGCCAAATCCGAGTTGAGAGTCGGATTAAAAAGAAAATGGTACACTTCAACGCCTCTGTATGAACACTCAGACAATCATTTCATGTTGCGCCCTTTGATCCACGAAGCCCTCTAGCTTTTTTCAACCCAGTCCGCCCCTGACTTCATACATCGCATTATCGAACAAAAAAGCGAGTGAGAAATTTCGGTATTCGTTACCCAAACGGTGGGAAACGCGTGCCACTGGTCAATCGGGAAAGTTCGGAAATTCTGGCAGCCAGCTCTGGTAGCCCACTTCACGTAGGTAGAAAAAGAAGAATATGAATACCGGAAAATAACCTAATTATTATATCGATATTACGATATTTTAAAAGTTTATGTATATATTTCAAACTAAACAACTTCCTGTTTATCCATAATTCAGACTATTTTGTCGAACAACAAGGAGTTATTTATGTCAGTACTAAAAAATGCCACATTCATCAGAGGTTCTTGTATCAGAACAATCAAATTCAGCACATCAGTATTTTGTAAATCAAAGGATTTCGAAGTTTCAGATCATTATATTGATGAAGTTTTAACATCTGAAAGGTAATTGCTCCAAAACAACATTGTCCTCAGTTATAGAGGTATGTATTTGATTATTTTTTCTAGTGTATATAATGATGTAGCTTACAACTATCTGACTGTTGGAGATTCTCACAATTGTTTAATAATCCAACCATATGTTAAATGGGGTCCTCGAAAACTTTCAATAAGTCCACAAGAGCAATTAGAAGAAGCTGTATCTCTCATAAAAACATTACCATCATGGACTGTCCAAGATACCATATCAGTACCTTTAGAAACACTGACAAAAAAGTCTTTATTCAAGTCAGGTTCCATGGAAAAACTTAGTAGAATAATTCAAAAGAATCCAAGTATAAGTGCTGTGTTCATTAATGCAAGTAGTTTGAAAAAAGTAACAAATATAATTTTACAAGAGAACTTCAGGCTACCAATTCTAGACCGTTACAAAATAGTAATGCAAATTTTGAAACTGCATGCAACAAGCAAACATGCTAAGCTACAAGTTGCTTTAGCTGAGCTCTATTTTGTTCAAAGAAAGGCTCAGTTAGACAATTTGTTCACCTCTAGTGATTCAGAAACCATGAAATTGATGTTTCAAAGCAGAGAGCAGAAGCTGAAGAAAGCCATACAAGAATTGAGAAATCAAAGAATGTTGCTAAGAAGTAAAAGAAAGAAGTTAGATTATCCCCTAGTTGCTGTAGTTGGATATACCAATGCTGGAAAAACTTGTTTGATTAAAGCATTAACTGGGGATGAAACTTTACAACCAAAAAATCAACTTTTTGCAACTTTGGATGTAACAGTTCATTCAGGAATTTTACCTTCTGGAATGGAAGTTCTCTATGTTGATACAGTGGGATTTTTGTCTGATATACCCACCAATCTCATAGAATGTTTTGTAGCCACACTGGAAGATGCTGTTTTTGCAGTAATACATTCATTATACCTAAAAAAAGAATGATTATGAATATTTCATATTTCAGGATGTGATATTGCATGTAGAAGACCTATCCAGTTCTTGTTTCAAATATAAAAGGAACCATGTTCTGACCACACTAAATGAATTGAGTTCTCAATCTGGTCACTGTAACATCATGGACAAAGTTATCTCTGTAGGAAATAAGATTGACCTTGCAGAAATAGTTGAAGAATCTGATCTAGTTACTGTCTCAGCTAAAAATGGGATAGGTATTGCCAACATTATTATTATTGTTATATCTTTGCTCACTGTATCATTCCACAGGTTTGAATAATTTGAGAAGTCATCTGGAGAAAGCTATCTTGAAATTTACTGCAAGGCAAATACTTACAGTCAAAATTCCTAATGGTGGTGATGAAATCAGGTAATTCAATTTTATTTTCCTATGCTAAATTTTTACCAAATATACCATATATTTAGTACATAATACATTCATTACAGATGGTTATACAAAAATTCAACAGTTGTATCAGAAATTCCTTCTGAAGATAATCAACAATTAATAAAGGCAAAAATTATCATAACTGACAGTAATCTTAGAAAATTCAGACACAATTTTATTGGTAATGTAAGAAAAAGTTGAGATTATAGTTGTCAATAAAATATAGTGTGTTTTACTCTTATTGAAAATTGCATATACCTACCCTGAACCAGCACAACCTTGTTAGGAATGTGAAAACTATTTTGGTTCATGACAATCCAAATCATAATTTATACCTATATTTATTGAATTATGCAATGAAAGAACATCTGATTAGATCATAATTGATAGTGAAATAAAAGGCTCATATATAACTAAATATTTATAAAAAATCAACAAAACCATCAATGTAAAAATAAACTACAAAGGAATTGAATGAACAGCATCAATAAATGTTTGAACAGCTTCAGTAGGTGCATCAGGATAAATCCCATGTCCCAAATTGACAATATATCTCTCTGTTCCAAATGATTTCACCATGTCTTTAACCATTTGTGCTAATTCTTCCTTTGGGGCATATAATGCACAAGGATCCAAGTTACCCTGTACTGTGATATTTTTGTTCTTCAGGGTTGACCTCACATGATTTGGATTCATTGTCCAATCTATGCCTAATACATCATAACCTAGATCAGCTTGTTCTGCTAAACTGAAGTGGGCCCCTTTTGCAAAGAGAATCTACAAAACACAAAGTAGAATTATTCAATTATAAATACCTTTGAAATAAAATCTTACTAATGGTACTTGTTCTAAATTTAATGCTGTGGATTTTTCTCTGATGCCAGATGCTATTTTTTTCAAATATGGTAAACAAAACTTGGCATAAAGGTGTCTGTTCAGATATTCTGCACTGCTATCAAACACTTGAATGATTTGTGCCCCTGCCTGGATCTGCATGACCAAATAATCAGTTATCACATTGGTCAATAGTTCTAATAGTTGGTGAGATATTTCTGGATATGCATACAACCATTTTTTAGCCTTGCTCAAGGTTTTTGAGCCTCCTCCTTCAATCATATAACCCATTAGGGTCCACTGAAAACATGTGCAATGTGAGTAAGTTGATCTCAGTAATCAATTTACAATGACATACTGGTGCTCCTGAGAATCCAAACAATGGAACTTTACCCTCTAGCTTATGCCTAGTTAAAGTGATTGCTTCACCAACATATTGTAACCTTGATACAGCTCCTTCCTTATTCAGTTCTTTTAAATTTTCCAATGTGAGAGGTTCAGGTAGAACTGGCCCCTAAAATAATAGAATCACTGGAAGTTTTTCACAATGAACTGTTGATACATACCACACCAGGTCTCATTTCTACAATCATTCCAAGAGCTTGAGGTATTACTAATATGTCACTAAAAATAATAGCAGCATCTAGATCATATCTCTTGATAGGCATCAGAGTTACTTCACAAGCCAAACTAGGAGTCTGACATATTTCAAAGAAGGAATGTTGCTTGCGGAACTCCATAAATTCTACAAACAGTGGGTAATTTGATCGCATCACACTTTATATTTTCAGTTACCTGGCAAATATCTCCCTGCTTGTCTCATTATCCATATTGGTAGTTTATCAGGTTTTTCGCCTTTAGCCGCTTTTAGAATTCGATCATTTTTTAAAGTTGGAAAATTATTTGCTGACATATTTTTAGTAATAGAATGACTTGAATAAGTGTAATTTATCTGAGATAACACGAATATTATGATCAAGTGGTCCAATATTTTTGTCATGTCATGCCCTCGGAGAAAATGCTTGAACACAACTTAAATAAAAAAAATTTGAGTGATATAATAACCTTTCAAATTCTTCTTCTTCTTCGTCTCACGACCACATCATCTTTGTTTCAAGGCACTGTGACTCACTGTCAGTGGCACGAATTCAATCTGACCTGAAATGAAGTCGAAGCATAATCTCTCAAAAATAATCTATATATTGAGTTAATTGTTGCGATGAGGATTGCTTCTCCTTTTCGAAGCGAATAATCGAAAAAAATACTGTGAGGACATTTACTGTTGGGGCCGATAGTGATTCGCTATTTCAATGAAGATTTTTTCTGTAAACTAAAGTAAACTTGTTTCCGCACGGATTATCTGTTGCCCCTGTGTCTTTGCGTCCTGTCTCTAGATGTTCATTTAATTTCAAATTGAATTCGTGTCTGTGCCTATTCTCAAAGCAGGAATCACACGATACCGACATCACGGAACATAAAAAATATCTATTTGACTGACATCCTGCGCCCTGCGCCTGCGGTCCCTGCGGAGTGCGGAATAACTGTGGTTCCTGATTTCTGTTGAATTTTTGAATGTTTTGTTTATTTATATAGTTTTTATACGGCAGTGATCGATGTGTATTAATTTGTTGATTTGATAAATATACAGAATCTATAGTTCGATGTGAGTATCTGGTTCTCCCATTCCATTTTTTGAATAGGTAGCAGAATAAAAAAGATTGAATTATTCAATACTTGAATTTGTAGTTGTGGTTATATCTAAATATTGTAGGTGGTATTTCTAATCTATTCTACAAATCTACACACACTCCACAATCAGTATTGCTGAGCATCTCAGAGCTACAGTACAGTGTTTTAGAATTATATAGGAGAATTTGCAATTTTTTTCTTGCTAGTCAATATTGTTTTGGTTCAGATATAAAGAAAATATCAATACAGTATTTGAGTGAACTGGGACTGAGGAAAAATTGAATTGAAGAGTTTCTCATCGGATACCCATATTATTGCATATTCAGCTTGGGATTATCATGATGAAGTCAATATGATACCAGATTTTCTGGGCTGAAACTCTATTCCTATCTAGCTATTATCCATCATCCATATCCCATATCTTCTCCACATTTGCAGTGTTGTTCCAGGTACTGCCATCAAACTTGGTAGTGTATTCCATTTTCCTAATCATAATAGGTAATTTTTTTCAACAAAATCTGGTAAAAATATCATGCCTGTCTTGAAAGAATAAAGAACTGATAATTTCATATCTTTTCCCAAATTAATTAGTCAATATCTCTACTTATACCTTTTTATATTTTTTTTACAAAAAATACCAACTGTAAAACAGTTTAGTTATCCTTAAATTTTATCACCTTACTCTGTTACCCTAAGGTAATAATCCTTGTAACTTGTAATAATGAATTATTGTTTTTAGTGTTATAATTGATGCATACCTGGATGAATATCTGACCTTTAAAAGTAGTTTATGATACCTGAAATGATAGTAAATCGAATACCAGAAAGGATGAAGATTACATTCAATGAAACTCCTTTGGATTCTTAAGTACAGTTTATTTCAAGGTAAGTATATAAATAAAATTAAATCACAATAAAGACAACATCACTATAAGGCAACATGCTCGTCGGCGTGGCCTTTGAGCAGAAAAAGATTTTTCATCACACATTTTTGGAGATAAGACTCCATTCTATATCTATAAATACATAATACCTACATACAAAGTTATTGGTATATCCCAGTGAAATGAATTGATGGTTTTTCAATTACAAACATTTTGAAGAATTATTATATTCCATAACAAGAGTAACACAGTTATGAACATGAATAATAAGTATAACAATTTTATATGTTCTCTGATTCTGGGACATTGAGAAAAAAGTTTTGGTATGTTCATTGTTCTATATAGTCTCACCTTTATGATTAAAAAATGTATAAATACTTGTGGATAATAAATAAATCAGCTTAAATGTAATTAAGAAACTAAGAAACAAAAAATACTGAGCCAGGAAAATAAATATAATACATATCAGAATTAGCAGATCACCTACTTACATCTGTTATGAACATTGAACACACACACAATTTTGGTAAATTTAAACAGACATGTTCTCGACTCCTATCTCTTGGAATTCCTAATCTTTGTGTGATGTATTTACACTGATATGTATCAAAATTTTAATATTTACAGGGAGTTTCTAAATGTCATGTTGATATTGAAGAAGGTAATTCTTTGGCTAATTCTATAAATGAAAAACCCTATATACATGTGTCCTCACATACTTGTTCTCAAGATACAGGAAGTTGTTGGATACAAGTAATGATTTCATGATCACCCTGTTCAAGTACACTTTGGCAAAAAAAAACGGCCAAAAAATTCGCCCAAATTGTTTACCCTGTAACTTACTTAATACTTGTCCGAGTTTCGTGAAATTTCAATCAAATCGTAAATTCATGTTCCGGTATGTTGGCCTAAATATTTTTTCCTGTGGTCATTATTCTGGGAAAAACAAAAGTTTCTCTCTTGCCCTTTCCTTCTTAACGCCCTGTGGCAGAATTAAGTGGTTGAACTTGGCTTCATTATGCTTTTGTATGAAGTGTGATATTTTCTTAACACAATAGTGTTTTATCCACGTCATTATCTGATTTTTAAGAGAAAATACGAGTTTTTCAAGAAAGTATGGCATTTTTCAATTCCCATTACCCTACAATTAATAATCACTTATTTTAGCTCATTTTCTTAGCACTTGCCGGAAAAACCGTAATTACAATAAACAAACAAAAAGCAGACCAGTAGTCAATAACGAGTATGCCCTCCTCCAGTTTGAATTACAGGATTTAACCGCCGTGGCATTAAATCGATTGAATTTCTCAAGTGGTCATGAAGAATTGCCTAAAATTTTTCTTAAATGGCAAATCATTGCTAACGGAGGCGAATGAGCCTCTGGAGTCCATTCCTATTATCCCTAAGATAAAAATTTAAAAATGCCATACTTAAAAATAAGATATTGACGTGAATCTAGAACCTTTGTATTGAGAAGGGAAAAAATAGGATCACACTTCAATGGGCTTATATCACAAAATATTTTTATTTCATAATTCGATAGAACTCACCCAAACTAGCTCACCACCGCAAACCGTTTCTTGCTGTGAGCTCCCTGCGTTTTATAAAAAAATTATTGAAATCCCCGATTTTTCGGACCTCTGAAAACGAGGCGATGATGTGACGTCAAAACCCTAATACTGAAACAAGACTATTCCAGACAGAGATGAATGATACATGATTTCTGACAGAGTGAATTAGCGCGAGATCACAGTTGAAAGAATTAATACCTATATCAGTTGCCTCAGCCTCCGTCGGGCGTTTGGTATTTTCTTTTAACTATGGCGAGATGAGGTTTCTACGTCATAAGAGGGTCCGTTTTCAGAAGGTACTATTATTTATGTCCAAAAATAAAACATTCCAGTTAATTTTTCGATCGAATTATGTCGTCAATCATCATTAATGTATAAAATGATCATTATAAACATGGTTTGAGTTGAAAGTTTTACTAAGGTGTACACGCCTATTCAAAACATGATGAAGCAGAACGTTGTAGAATGGTTCTGAATTATTGTTAATAAAAATAAAAAATTTCATACTTTCTTAAAACACCTGTATCTTCTCTTAAAAAGTGGTTATCGACGTGATTCAAATACCATTGTGTTAAGAAGGTACCACACTTCAATCCAAAACATAATGAAGCTATAAGTTTAATCACTCACCTTTGCCACATGGCTTTAAGAAGTCAAAGGTGGAAGAGTAACTTTTGTTTTTCCCTGTATAATGATCAAACCGTCAGCTTTTTTTGGAACTATTATTCAGACTAACATTCTGAAACATCAATGCACGAATTGGTCGACATTTCACCAAAATCGGACAAGAATTAAAAAAGTTACAGGGCGAACAACTTATTGGCTAAGTTTTTTGGTGGCCGTTTTTTTTTGCCGCTGAGTGTATATAATAAACGATAATAAGCTTTCAGAATGGCTAAATTTAATCTGGTCAGTGCCTCGTGAATTCTCTCAATTTCTATCGTAACCGATGTTGGGCAAATAAAAACATTTATATCCCCCAACAGCGCCATCATAATTTGCACCAATCTTATTCATACTTCTCAAGGTACAAATAATTCACTAGAATATCTCAATTTTCTATTGCAAAGATTTCTAGAAATTCGTTGAAAACATATTTTCAATTTCAACCCCATGCAAGTTATGACATGTTGATATAAACTTCTTCATTATTAATATGACATTCAGGTAAACCTTGTATTTTCTCACAAAACCTGAGATTTTGGTAGGTAATTCGTAATTCTGGCAAGATCAGCTTCATAATATATTGTCATTCATTGAAGACAATAATTCATAAATAAATATGAAGATAATTCTTACACATCCAATATGAAAATTATTCTTGTGAATAAACATATCATGAGATATAAACAACATGAGGGTGGTAGAATGACAACTGCTGCATTTTTATTCTCATTGGTAGATTGTGGAATTTCGTTTGTATCTGTAAAAAAAAATAACTTGTTGAATTCCAAATTTGACGTTTGATATCCAGACTGAAGGAAAACTAAATGAGTCTTCATGAATTCAGTACCTTCCTATGTACCCATTTCATAGGAGAATTGTGGAGGAATGTTAGTTTTTTGAGGTCGGCACCTTATGACAGCTGATAAATGAAGAAGTATCGATTTGACATCAAAACACAATGAGACTATTTTGAAGAACTCGTCGAGCGCTATTCAGAACTCATATCAGAACTGTTCAGTTCTTTGGAATTGAGTTTTTATCCAAAATGTTAGTTTTTTTAGGTCAGCACCTTATGACAGCTGATAAATGAAGAAGTATCGGTTCGTCACTAAAACACAATGAGACTATTCTGAAGAACTCGTCGAGCGCTACTCAGAACTCCCATCAGAACTGTTCTGTTCTTTGGAATTAATTTTTCATCGAAGTTGATAGTTTTTAAGGTCGGCACCTTAGGACAGCTGATTTTTTTCAGATTCTATATTTCCTAATGACTTTCCTCTTTTTTTCTCGATAGCTTTTTCTTCAATACGAAAGAACGGAATAGTATTTCACCAAGAAAAGTCGCCTATATAGAAACACATTTTCGTATTTTATTTTCTTAAATTATTCAATAATTTTCTTAGTTCATCAGAACTATTGATGAAATAGGTTTAGAACTCCAGAACTCTTTAATAAAACAAAAAATTATATCAGAACTCAATTTCTCGAAAAAACGGCGCTGCGTGAAGTTAGCACTCAAAATTATTTTTTTCCATTTACATCTATGATTTGCTGGAACTATACAAAATTTCAGTCATGAACTCTAGAACTCTATCAAATCCACTCAGAGCTCCAAAAAAATTGAGTTAAAAAAAACGGTGCCAACTTCACATGAGTGGGACAGGGAGGCTAAAAAGCCCAAAAATAGTCAAAATACATTTGTGGTTGTACTTGTCCGCTGGTGAAATATTGTCGGTTGATTCTGTGAAGTCTTGTACACGATCATCAAAATATGCGTGGGCTTGCGTTCTTGTAGGTGTGTCGAGGAATGCGACAGATCCTCGTGATGCATACGCCAGATAAACCCAAACATAAACCTACATTTCTTGTATTCGCCGCGATTGTCTTTGGAGTTATGTCGAGATAATATTCATGATACGAGAATGAAGTCTCACCCATGAAGAGTACAGGGGTATAATTTGTAAGGTAAACAATGATAATGGGCACTCATGAATTTCTTAAAAAGCCTATCGATGAATTTTAATGAGTTTTCCTCTACGAGAGCTACAGGATCCCGAACTCCCTTAGAACCAGTTAAAAGGAAATCCATGATTCTTAAGAGCCGAGAGTTTTTTTTGTCAAATTCATTAATTTGATCACAGCCTTTATAACAAAGCAGAACCTAGTATAGTGGTAGTAGTAGACAGGGTGATGTACAAAACGGTAACATGTCATTTCCCAGGCAACCAGATGACGTTTCAGTGACGTAGTCGTATGACGTGATAGATGATGTGAATAAGTCACAGCCCAATGACGTTATATTACACACGTTTATTGACGTCATTCACTCACCAAACTGTGACGTCTGACTGACGTCGAAATGACGTCAAAGTGACGTTCAAATTTGGTGATGACACGTAAAAAAGTTTCCTCGAACATGGTGTAATAATCACCAATTACATCTGATGACATATAATATTGAGTATGCATTGTTGAGTCTGCTTGGTGGTCCCTCCGGTGTCATCTCCTGTCAGCGCTATCCCTCAGTAAGCAGCTCCATCAGAATGAAATCAGTTACTCGTATTTGTATCGAAAATTATGTAGTTTGTGTCGGCGAGATGTAAGCAAACCAAGAATAGTTTGATAGCAATGAAAAGAATGTTGGCGAATTTAGCTTCACTTTGTTGAGTAACGTATGTTCATGCATTATTTGTCACCTAACAAAGATTGTAAATAGCAAATTATTGAAAAATTTTCTGAATGACGTAGCTCACCAAATAGGTACGTCACACCGACGTGATTTCTAGACGTCATAGATACGTCACTGCAACGTCATAAAAGTGAGGGTTTCAATATAGGTATAACTATATTATCATTTGTATATATAGCTTGATTGGTTTCCGAGATATACAGGGTGTCAAAGTTTATAAAAAGTGTTCTCTTTTTGGGAATATATAATTTCAATAAAACTTGCATGTTGAATTGTTTTACTTCTATCGACGTTAGAAGCATATAAAATAACCAAGACGTACATTTTTCTATAAGATATGTGTGTAAAATTGATGAAAAACGATTTTTTCTGAAAATTTTTGACACTGAAAATGCCTATCCTGTATATATAGGTATGTACGTCACAAACCTAACGGTTTCCCATGATAATGTAAGTATACATGGTTTAGATATGGTCTAGGAAACATGGACGTCGACAGGACGCCCCTGCAACATCATGAAACTGATTACTTATTCTACCCTTCTAAGTGACGTTCACTAGACGTCGAGATAATGTCGTGAATATCACGTCATAGAAAGTACGTCATAGTGACGTCATGAATTGGTGTGTGCCTTCTCTGACGAAAAATCACCAATTAGGGACGTCACAGTGACGTGATCATTCGTCATCATACCTCTTTATCATCAGTAATACAAGTTAACTGTATTGATTAATATGTTATCTTATTTTGATTGAGGTTAGAAGAGAATGATTATAGTATGTGGTCCAGGGACAAGGCCCCGGAAGGTGTTGTCGCGTTTATTGTATTTTATTATATTTATTGTAGTTATTACAAATTTTCATATCGAATTTTTATTTTAATGAATTACTAAGTAAGATTTTAATGTGGCGGATATTATGAAAAAAAAAGGTGTAAGAGGTCATAATGAAATTTGAGGTGAATTTCATTTGATTGTTATAATCGAGTTGAATGTTCAATAAAAATCAATGCCTTCGTAATGTGTGAAAGGTTTGAAATGTTGAGTTTGCACCAGTAATTACACGTTGATTTATTATCATAAATTATTCGAACACTGCTTTGTTTATCGAAATGCGACAGTCCTTTTTTCATTTCTAATTATGTGAAAATGGTTTTTTCATGAGTTTCTGAAAATGTTCGGAAAATAAAAAAGATAGGGGTGCACTTCCGCGAAATAATGACGAATATCCGGTAAAATTACCCCTCAAGTGTACGAGAGGGTTTGATTGATAGTATATAAACGGGTGCCTGAAAAACTTTCATCATAGTTGTAAATTTGAATTTGATATTCTAGAGCTGTCAAAATATTGCAGGAATAGGTGTGTAGAAAGTAATATCTTCGTGTTTGGTTGTCCTCAGCCCTAGGAATCTCGAGAGAAAAGTCGATTATGTCTCATACAACAAACACCTCATTTTCTTTATCGCTTCTATTTTGGGTATACCCCTTATGCAGCGAATCCTGGCAAAACGTTTCACCATCCTTATCTTCGACAAAAAAAGTAAAAAAAGTTTTAACAGATCACCCTGGTTGCTGAAACAATAGTAGAAGCCCTTGAAGGGGTTGTGCGAGTTGAGGTGATGAGAGATTTACAGTTCATACAAGTGAATATCAAACCACCGTGGCATTAGGGCGGGTTTCTTGAAGAACCATTTGATATACATTGGGCAGAGCATAGTTAAACCCAAATCCGCCTGACACGCCTATAAATTATAATCAGACATTCGATACGAAAATAACTGAAATTCAACATAGACCTAATAGATACATCAAGAATAAAAATTAAGAGTAATTCAATTAAAAACTCACCAAAATCTTGACTTCCCGTTGTCCGCCTAGGAGTATATGTTGTTGAAAACCTAGGCTTCGGCCTTTGAGTAGTTATCCTTGGGACATGCTTAGCAGTTGTACCTGAGGAAAAAACATACATTCAGCGATATTCTAGTGACCTCACTCCAGCCTCAAGCTTACTTCTTTCAATACAGGAATACAACGGCTGTTTCTTGATGAGTTTCATCCCATATCTCAAAGGATCGACATGCCGTTGACAATGTTCGCCAGCTTCCTTGATATAAATCTCTTGGTCATTGATGATGGAACCCACAAAACACTCATAGGTTCCAGCTGCGACGTCCTTTCTTTGCGTGTAAGTGTATAGAAGGTTGGACTCACTCCAGTGTCCAAGACATTGGTATTCCCTTTCTTCGTAAATTTCCTCGGTTTCACAGTGAGATACTTGATAGTACATCAGCTCTGGGGCTCTGCAATCTGACCATAGCTTCGCACAGAGATCGGTGGCATCTGGGATACGCCCTGTGTACTCTCCCGTTATAGGGCACATGCCAGTGGATATTCCAGGGGAGATTTCCAGACCTGAAAGAAGAAGGGGATGAGAAGTTGTTCCCTTTCATACATATATTACAAGTAAATTGACTGCTGGCAAACACAAGGTTTTAATCGTACCAAGTTCATCCACTATCTACTTCGTCTATTAACATCACCAAAATACAGTGAATACTATCCGTTAGGAAACTTTTTCTCCATATAATCGCTGGTCTAAGCTAAACCTAGCTGCGTTTAATCATGGCTCCTCTGAAGATACGATATCTCATCAGAAATGCACCTGATCGCTGTTGGTCTAACCTTAGTTACTTACGTCCTTGGGTTATCCATGAGTCTTCCTGGAAGTTTTCATCTGCACAAAGTGTGAACACGTCTTTGTTATCACTGGTGTTGGTGCCAATTTGGAATTCTAGGATATTATTGCTCCTGTTGGCAATCCTCAAGCAATTATAGGATTCCTCGTTGCTGAAATGCAATAGATGAGCACCAATATTTATGCAATAACAGTTGAGTATCTTACCACTGAGTTCTGCTGAATACTAGGTACTTATCACTATCTTCAAGTACTCCTACACATTTGATAGTGTGTGTTTTGAAAGAAGAATGGTCCTTGTACACCATAGTGTCATCCCGAACTCTGACGTGTTCCCAGTTACCATCCATCCATTTAGGGAAGCTGCAGACGCCAAAAGAAACTTCTGCTGGCCATGGTTCTTCAGCTTTAGGCGAGAGAACAAATGTTTCGAACCCACTGGTGATATTATAGAGGTCTGTAGTGCATGTAGAGTCTCTGCTGAGCGCCATAAGGATCTTCCCGGACTTTCTATCTTGTTTGTATACCTAGTAAATAAGGTTTTTCTTTGTGGTGAAGAAATTTGATTGTATTCGTAGGTACTTACTGCACATCTGTATTTCGGTCTCATGTTGTTCAGATGTCTGCTGTCAGTGAATATCATGAAGACTTCATCATCCATTCCCTTCCAGTGGCCAAGACACTCGAATTTTATATCTGCACAAAAGTTGCTAAAGTAAATTATCGATTGTTATATTGTTCCAAGTAGATATTACCGTGACTCTCAAATGTGCAGTTCTTCATCCTGAAGTTCAGAGTAGAACCAGAAGGACATGAGTTCACCATGGAGTCAAATCCATAACATTCATTGAAGCCAGAGTTGTAACGTTTGGTCGTCTTAAGACCTTTGTAGTTGAGGTGATAGTTACCGTCGATAGGACAATATTGTTTCGTTATGTAGGATCCGAAGTGATCTCTTGTTTCTGAAATGAAACAGATAAGAATGTGGATTTAATTATGCAAAATTAATTTACAATGAACCAATTAGTCGTAAGAATTCTTATGTTGATCCATTGTTGGATAAACCTCTGAACATGCCAAAGAGTCCTTAATTAACGTATTTAGTGCCTATTGTTTATGAAATAGCTACATGTTTATGACTTACTGAATAATAATATTTCCGCTGTTTCTCGGGCTGCCAGAGATTCTTCAGAAGGACAGTTTGCTTCCGCTGATTCTTCGTTTGTGTAGCATTTCGATATTGTTTCTGGGTCCGTTGCAAATATTTGAAGAACGTTGGATGAACGCAATTTCAGATGTAAACATCTGACGCAAAGGGTTTCACTGTAACTAATACGAATAATAATGAATTGAATATATTTTTGAAGAGTGTGAAAAAATATACATTGTGTACTTTTTGAATTAGCAACGATCTCGTAATTTCGAACGCGTTATCGGGTTTCAAAAACCATAATTTTGAGGCACGAGAACCGTTTGAAATGTATATTTCCAAGGCCTGAAAGGTTTTTCAAATGAGTCCATAATGATGAAAACAAATTCATTTCGAAATTCGAAAACAACAAGTGAATTAAAGAGAAAATCCCACTGAATCTTTTGACGTTCGTGGGATCACTGTTTGAGTTCTGAGCGCAATATATGGGATGTTTGTCAAATTTTTCAATTATTTTTAGACTGACTGTAATAGAGGTCATAAAATGTAATGAACCTGTTAAAATGCGTCAAAAATACTTCAAAATACGAGGGCATTGTTGTTTCAAATGGCACACTCTGTACTTCTATGTGTACACACTACAGTGGCTTGATTAGAGATTCAACATGTAGACCTGTTGAACATACATGTTTCAACATGCTTCAAGATGATGTATACAAAGATTTTTTATTGGGAATGATACAAAAAATCATTCGAAAGGTGATAACATCATGAACATTTTCAAAAAATTCTAGAACACTTATTTAGTATAGTCATTCTTTATGAAGGAATACTTCGCAAACGATATTATTTCCAAAAAATTCTTGAAAACACAACATTAGTGAAACATGTTTTCAAGAATCCCTGATAATCTTCTGAAATAATGTAGGTATCTTGTACAAACAACATCCTGAATATGATAACTAGAAGAAAACTACAGAATAAGGGTTTTGCAGAGTTCGGAATATAGTCATTTATTATATTGTGTAAAAATTTTCTCAATCAGATATCGTTCAAGGTTAAGAAAATGGAATTAATCTTTAAATAAAAATTTCGAATAAATATCCCGCTTTCAAGCAAGTAACTACAAATATGTCATAACCTTCATCAATCCCTATAGAAAATATTGAAATAAATGATACTTTTTTATGCCTACTAGAAAAAAGGTAGTACTTAATTTTAATTTTGGTTTCAAAAACAACGGAAAATATAAGAACTAAAGCGCAATGATTTAGCAATGTTGCAATTAATTATTCCATTCGAATTATTTCATTGAGAAGTTCGACCTAAATTTACTTAGCAGTTTGAAAAAATAAAGCTAAAAACTATAACGCAATTCCATGATAATTGTGGAAAAAATTATAAACCCCATATTAATTATAAGAACTCTCCAAATCTCTAAAGAAACCAAAGGACATGCAGTTGCCTTTTCCACTAACGTTTGGGCCACCATGTATACGTACTTGAACATCAGTATGAAATTGTTCCCAATCCTCCTGTGGCAGTTTCCCCAAATGGGAATGGAGTTATCTGTTATGTTCAGCGTGCTGTATTGGATTCCCATTCCTGCTGTGACGGTATTCTGCAGGACGAATTCGCCCTGAAACTCCTGCGGAAAGTAACATGATGCTTCCGCCGTTGTGGCTGAAACAAAAACGATGTTTAGATGTTATAGATATTCCATTCGTATGTTGCGAAATGCAGGGGAGTGGTAACGGGGGGGGAGGGGGGCTTCAAACCACTTCCTGGGGAAGTGGGATGTTTTTTGTTGAAGTAGATGACAAGAAATATCGTTTTTGCGAATGAGGAATATTTGATTCGATTTCCGTCATTGCTTCCTGCAAATAAGTGAACTGATAGTCAAGTCTAGCCAAGATCTTTTTTCCGGAAATCGTATAGACAGTAACTACATTTATACATGCAGTATAGTCAATCAGATTCATTAATGGCATGCGAAGGATTTTCTAAATATAGATTCTTGAACATTTTCAGGACGGCAAGAAGCTCATATGAGTATTGGCTAGAATTTATCCCGCTAACTGCAGACTTCAGAGTTATTAAACCGACTGAAAAGGTTCAGTATCAATGTAATTATGCAAATGCGTTACTAGCAAGGCTACTTCTGTATCCGCCGGCGAAAATATCAAATTCAACATGAGTTATCGAGCCACTATTCTTGACGTCTAGAGAGACAGAATCAATACAATCAATCAAAGTTAAATGCCCAAATACAAAAATATACGCAAAACATTGTATCTAGAAATACCTAAATGGCTACGTGTTTCGACAATACGTTTTCGTTTTCAGTAGACCTGGAAAATGTATACAGATTAGCTGACTTCTCAAGATCTTCCAGGATATTCTCTAGAAATGGGGTTGTACACACTATAGTCAGGTTTACGACACACATATTTTATATTCATCGATATGATCTTTCCATGCATTAATAGTATTTGATACAGTTATTCATTATTTAAAATCATCTCAAATATTTTTTTTCAATTTCGAGAATGATTAACGCTCTAAAACGCTAGCATTTTGAGGGGGGGGGATGACGTGATATAAAAAAAAAAAAAAGTGTTTTTAACCGCCAGCTTAGTTGCAAAGCAACCCTCGAAAGTCAGAGACTTGTGTGAGTTAAGAAGACGGGGACCTTAGCTTTTTAAGTGTCATCCGAAGCACTACTCGGCTGGTAACCGTGGACAGTCCAAAGGATTGATATCTAGGTACCAAGAATGTTGGGTTGGCCACCTATCTCCTCCCGCCCAACGAAACTACCGAAAATTAATTCAGTGCTCGCGCCGGGGATCGAACCCGGACCGCCTGGGCGACAGCCAGCGACTCTACGCTCACGGCCACCAGCCCAGTTGATATACCAATACTCACTTCCTCAGTAGAAGTGCTTACTGGGATACACTGAATGCATACTTGTATTGGATTGATCGAGGTATATGTCGTCACGAGTTATGTTATGAAATATCCCGAATAAAAAAATGTACAGAGCTCTGAGGGGAAAACGGTTTTGCGACAGTGAACTTGTTTGGATTATTAGTTAAGAATAATGACATAATGTGTTTTACTGGAACAGGCCCATTGCCATAGACACACAAAATGATTGAATGAGTATTCCCACTGTTTCTTCATTGTTATTGAGGCAATCAATGCCATCCAAATTTGGCTGGTTTTACTTTCAATATGATCATTTTTTCAGAGAAATACATTATTTTGGGAAGATTACCAAAACTAGCTTTTCGAAATCGTCGCTAAATAAGAGAAAAATAAAATTGCCAGATTTTGCAAAAATAACGACTGCAGCAGGCTCTTCTGCTATAGCCTTTGCTCGCTAGCAACCTTTTTGCGAAATGTCGAATGCAGCAGCAATAGCGGGTACAGTGTTCTATATAGTATTGTGTAATTGTAAATGAAGTAAATTGAGAACTTCTGAAAATTGTAAGAGATATCATTTTTCTTATTAGCATCTTCAAATTGTTTCGAAGTCGTTCATGCAAATTTTCAGCTGATATGGCTTTTTTACAAATATTATTTATTGTTACTGTGGGAGATGCTTATGGAACTATATTTGGAGTGCAGCACCCAAACATACCCTGAAACTGTTGGATTCTGTCCAAAAAAGGGCAATTCGTCTCGTGGGTGATGCCTCGCTCACAAACTCACTCACTTCTCTGGAACACCGTAGAAAAGTTGGCGATCTGGCTCTATTTTATAGATATTTTTATGGACAATGCTCTTCTGAAATATCAACAATTGTTCCTCCCTTGGCAGTCCCCGTGAGATTAAACCGTCGAGTTGAGGCTTCGCAGCCCTTCGTGGTCACTTTGGAGACCTGCAGAACATCTTTTTCTAAAGACTCGTTCATCCAACGAACAGCGTGGCTCTGGAACACATTGCCAAGGGAGGTGTTCCCCGAGGCATATAACCTACAGAAATTTAAGAAGAACACCAATTCCTACCTTATTTCCCTTGGTTCTCACGATGTTCTCTGAACATTACAGGATATCCCTTTTCGTGGGAACCAGAACATAAAAAAAATGCGATTTGGTAAAGAATGGATCAGCAAGAGTGTCGATAATCTGTCATCAAACTTTACAGAATGTGTTGTGCATCATTTACGTCCTTGACCACATGCCGCCTTTTGATTGATGTAAGCCGTTTATTAGCAGTAAGGCAGTACCTACCTTCTTGTCTGCGATCCTCATTAGGAATATAGTTACAATAATTATCAGCAACTTTAATAATTCGATCAAATGAGGCATAATTTCATCCGAAAAAGCCGAATCGAGAATCGGAGCGGTCGAATTGAGATTCTGAGAACAATCATTGTCTGAGAATAACAAACAAACGAGTGTTAATTGTCTGTACTATGTTATCAAAGCTAGTTGGCACAATAATCACACAGTTTTTAACGCCTTGACACGGGTTTCGATAACTTTGTTAGCATATTCAGGAGACTACTTATTTATGATACAGCAACTGACTGAAAAGCTAGAAAAAGGATAACTAGATATAGACGAGTAGATATAGACTTGAGATGAACTTCCGGCAGAGTTCAGAGATGTGATTATTTTTCCCTCCATTTTGTTTGGTTTCGATTTTGTGCATTCTCCCGGACAACCTGTAAGTGGTTGATTAATTTTTATTCTTTTAAAAATGATCTATCAAGAAACAAAAAATACTCATTTTCAGCCATATTTTATCGAATAGTGTTCGGAACTGAACACACTGTACATAGAGAAATTATCAGAAGTCAGGTGATTGCTCTATTAGTCAAGCATATCGGTCGGAGCGAATGTAGAATTTTATACAAAAAGTGTACCTTCTATGACTTGCAGTTTGTAATTATGTAATAGATGGCGCATTACTTGTCTTTCTTTCTCAGATAGTAAGTTTTTCCTCTCAGTTTTTATGTGGGAATGGAATTCACGCTAGTGAAAGTGAATGGAAAACGTTCGAGGGAATCTAAGTTCGAATTGGTGGTCACCTACTCAAGCGTTTCACTCGCTTTTCCAGAATGTCATAAAAAAATAGTGATTTCTATATATATGGCTCATTCTGTGCGATATCATCGTGAAATTTTTAAAATTCTCATGTCGCCCCAAACATTTTTCTAATTTGTGGTAAGGTGGAAATGATGCGCAATACTCAATAGAGTCAAAAGACCTAACAATATAATTATCCTCTACGAGATCCATCGATTTGACTGCTCGTAACAAAGACAGATACATATTCCATCCAACCATATGCTGGTAGCTGCTCGTTGCCTCTCTCTCGTGTTTATCGAATTCTTCAGTTGGTTTATTTCGGCGCGATCAAGTTCAATTCGAAAACACCCCAGTTCGCAGAACTAGAGAGGTTAAATCAGGTTTTCATCCAGCATTTTTCTTCATTGACTTGAAATTTCAGTGCTAATTTATTTTATCAGCTGATTTCGTTGCGCCATGTTGGTTCTTGCGTCTCATTCTCATGTCGTCTTCAATTCCTCTTTCTCTAGAGACCATCTGGTAGGTCAATATCAGATTTCGATTCAGATTTTCTTCATTCGGTAAGGGGTTAGGTATTTTCAATACGAATTCAACGATGGGTACGTCAAACGAATAGAAAGATGTAGCTAAAAATTTCTTCCATCTGCCCCAATGACCAAATTATTGCGGAATTATATGGGGTGTCCCAATAAAAAATTGCCTATTCTATTCTTACACGAATTACGATCACCTTGTATATTCGAGATAGGATCCAAAAATGCGTCCTATTAAACTTAAATCGACGACACTTTATGAAACCCACCTGGTATATACGGTTTTTATGTCTCGTATAATATGTCGTTCTTGAAACTAATGCCGGTTTCAAAGGCCGATATCCCTACATATGCCTTAAACTCGATGACTTTCACAAAAGGATAGGTTTCTATGTGTTAGTAGATGAAATTCAAAATCATGATCGATATCGGATACTAGAGACCAAACAGGAAATATCTATACAAAGAACAGAACATAATTTCATGCTGGTTGAGAATGATTTTATATTTGGTCAAAAAACCACGGATTGCCGGTCTGTGAGAACTCATAAAAATTCTTGTGGTCTGGTTTCCCATTACCGATGTGCTCATATTATGTGTTTATTTTGTTTGGCTATGAGAGTGGAAGAGGATTCGTTTATTGGAATCTAGACTTGTTGCAGGTATAAAACAGGGTGTCCCATAGAAGATCGACACTCTTTTGGTATCAAAACTCAGTTGTCAAATCCTAGAAAATAATTAGATAAAGTACAAGAATGGCTCTGTTCCAAAATGATTTTAGATTTGTTTTCTCGAAATGCATGCGCTAACAATAATCAGCCGCGAGGCATGTACTTTGTGGTGTACTTCTGGAATTCTTAACTTGACAAGGTTAGGCAGCAAATGAACATTTTGCTTCATAGATTCTGCTGCTTGCATACTTTCTGATAGAAGTGATAGAGACCCTGTAATGTTATTTGCCAGTTATAAGGTTTGTAAAAGGTATAACTTTTTTTTTCGTCGAGGTGATTGAAATTCTTTATGGACATCATATGGGTGTAATGTAACCCCCCATATGATAGTGTGGGAGTCCCCTGACTAGCCAGTGTATACCCACTTAACATTCCACCCC